TGCAACAGCCTGACTCCCCACCTCAGAAAATGAACTGGTTATGTCAAGACGCAGCAGTTTGTAGGAATGCACATCCTTCTGCCTATTGCAAGAATCTCAGTTATTTTCAGGTGCCAGCCACACTGATACTCACTGTTGTGCATTTCTGTCCTGTACAGTGAGTGCACTACAGCCCAAGAGAATATAGAGCTTTAAAATATTCCAAAAAAAAAAAAACCAAAAAAACCCCAAAAAAAACAAACCCTAACAAAGCATATCAAAATACACAAGAGAGCTAGACTAGGAATGACACAGCAAAGGGGGAGAAAATAAAATATTTTTCAGTAAAACACCTATTTTGGATAGGAATTTCTAATGTGGAAGGTTTCTTTTCATCTTTTGTATAATCACTGCTGGAATTTTACAATACGTCTATACATCACAACAAACAAAACTAAAAATGCTCACATAAAGCTGGTAGGAAAAGAGTAGAATCAGCTGAACGCCAACTACATGCTCTGTTGGTTGTAATGGAAGTTCCAGTTTAAAATGCAACTGATCCATTTTGCCATCTTGATTTTTGTCTTCTTCTCTCATCTAAATAATGTTTTTTAAAGACAGGAATTTCTGTTAGAAAGAAAACCAAAAAAGTAAAACCCCAGGGGACCCTACAACTGCAGCACGCACATACCAAGGAAGCAAACAGACTGCACAGTCAGGAATGTAATAAAAAGGGCACAGACAGAGGACTAGAGACAAAAAGCCAACACTGCCGTCTGTTATACAAGGTCTCACATACCCCTCCAGGGAGGAAAAGTTTACTTCAAGGTCTTTTCCGCCCTAGACCATTCCAACCATCTTCCTTGCATGCCACAAAGCATGCCTTGGTGCTGGATCTTCTGTGTAAGACGCAGTTCAAATACATGACTGGTGGTCAGGCTTGTGCCTCCTGCTATTGTAGGATGCCTCTTAAATGGCCTCTGTATACTGATTCCTGGCGGTAAGCCAAGGCTTGCTACGCTTGCGTGCCAGAGTGTCCAGTACTTCAGCTACTTGCAAAATATAGGAGGGCTCATAAAGAGGCAGACAGAAAAATAACTGCCACTGTGAAATGCCAGAAAGAAAAGTGACTGCAAGGCAGAGATTATGTGTTTCTGAAGGCACATATCTACTTCCAAATCTAGGTGTACCCTGCAGACTTCACATAATGACAAGCCATGTAGCCAGGATAGAGGAGCACAAATAATTTGATGAAAGTAAACCGACGTGTTCACACAAAGCACTAGCGGTGTTCATGGACGTGGTTTAGTGGCAAAATTGGTAGGGTTTGATTAATGACTGGGTTTGGTTTTACGGGCTTTTTCCAACCTAAGTAATGCTACGATTCAGTAACACTGAGAGGGAGTGAAACGGGACTCATTAAAATTCCAGCAAATCCCGATGTGAGGCACAAGGTTATACATAAAGCTGCTGCTACCTGAAGGCAGCAGTGCCTGACAGGCCACCCGCTCAAAAGCGCCATCAGCACTCGTGCCCTGAGCCGGCTGCCGGTCCACTGGCCCCACTCTGCAGCCTCGCTTCTCGCCAGTGTTGCCGGGCCGCCCCCGGCAGGCCTACCGACAGGAGCGGGACTCGGAGCCGGTCCTCCTGGAGCCTGTTGAACGCTGGGAATGTGCTCCACGCCAAGAAGCTGCCCGGGCCGGACCCGATGGTGGCGACGAAGAGAGCCTCGTATCGGAAACGAACAGTGGGCTGCTCCAGGTACGCGCTCTGCTTCAGCCAGAAACCTGAGGGCAGAAACAGCACGAGATTTCAGGGCTGCGCCAGACCCAGCCAGGCCGCGTGGGGTCCAGCGGCGCTCACCGTGGCTCCGGTAGGCCACCAGCAGCGGCGGCACATAGGTGAGCGCCGTGATGAGCAACAGCGCCAGTGCAGCGGCGGAGCAGAACCCAGCCCGGTAGCGCGTGTACAGCGCGGGATGCGAGTACAGCTCCACGCCAGCCATGGCGAGCGGCCCTCAGCGCCCGCAAGCACGCCCCTTGCCCGCACTCGCGCCGGCCGCCCCCGCCCGCGCCTTCAGCGCAGGGCGAAGAGTCGGACTGACGAGACGCCGCGCCAATCAGCGCCGAGGGGACGGACCCATCAGCCAATGAACGCGCACCGCTGCCTCCCGGGTCCGTCGGCGAGATAGCGCCCGGCAGCAGGATGGGGACACACGAACGGGGACACCTGCCGGGGCGATGAAGTCTGTGGAGCGGCTTCGAGTGCCCCGGGAGCCCTGCAGGCGGCTTCGCACCCGGCAGGTGACTCCGCGTCCAGATGCCACAGTCCCGCCCCGCGATGCCCGGCCGGAAGCGCGGCTGCTCAAGCGGTTGCCGGGGAACAGGCGAGCCGGAAGTCCCGCCTGCCGAGCCGCGGCTGTTGTTGTGACAGGGACCGTGACAGCGACAGGCCCGGCACGAGCCCCCGCCCCCCGCACACGGGCCTCGCCGCCTCTGGCTTCGCTCCCTGCCCGCCTGCACCATGAAGTGGATGTTCAAGGAGGACCACGCGCTGGGTAAGGGTGGGTCTGGGCCAGGCGCTGCCTGGCAGCGGCCCCGCTGCCCTCCATCTCCCGTGTCGCCATCTGTCGCGGTCGGCTTCCCCAGGCGGTGGTCTTGTATGTGGGCGGACAGCCGCTGGCGGCCCTCGCCGAAGGGTAGTGCGATGCCCGGGGACGGTCTCCCCGAAAATCTGGAGACCCGCTCGGAGACGGGAATGTGATCGCGCTCCCCGCAGGCTCACGGCCCTGCCGGCGCTGCCCTCCCGGCCTAGGACACCAGCAATATAATTACTATGCAATGACTAATTACGAGTTTTGTTCACAGAGCACAGATGTGTCGAGTCCGCAAAAATCCGAGCCAAATACCCCGACCGTGTCCCGGTGAGTAGCCAAGCCAGCTTCAACAGACTACTTACAGGCAAAGGTGGATACAATGCTTCCATCCTGCCCACTCTGATGAGCTCCTACTAAGAAAATTAATTTCCCATTTTGTGTCCTTAGATGTTTTAAAGAAGTCCCAAACACATATAACTAGTCCAACATTTCCTCCTGTGCCCTAGTGCATATTGAAAAAAACGCTTTCTAAAAACTTTCCAGGGATTTTTATGGTATATCATGGTCCTGCTTTCTTCTAATGGCAATTATATCCCACCAAATACCTTAATTGTCTTGAAGATTGTGCCTGATCCTTAGAAAGATTATAAAGACTATAGAAACCTTGATCATCTTCCAACCTGGCTAAATTAGTTAGATGATATCCCTCATGAATTCCATGCCTATAACCAGTTATCATGGTGAATCTCCCCATGCAAACCCTGTTTGAAGAGCCAATGTGAGTGGTGACCCCTCCTTTCTTGGAGGAGCATTAATACCTACCAATCTGCTAAATAGTGAATGAGCTCTCTTCTTCTCTCTGCAGTCCCTTTTAACATATTTCAGTCTCTGACAAGACCACAGTTCACATCCTTATGGAACAGCTAGCAACATGTCCACATTCTCAACTGACTTGCTTGAGTATAAAACTTCCCACATCCCATCTGACCACATGCCAGTTAATGCCACTCCTGCCTCTCACCTTTTGGTAACTTTTCCATTAGCACAGCCCAGAGAAGAATCTTCATTCCCATTGACTTTTTCTGCTGCTCAGTTGCACAAAGTCACAAGATTTTGTCCAGTTGTAATCTGGTGAGCTGATATGATCCATGCTGTTCTCTCTTGACTAACTATTCCCTCACACATAGACTGCAGCATCCTTGACCATATATCTTCACAGTATCCATGTATCCATTTCAAAAATATCCTTGATAACCTATGGGGAAAAAAAACCATAGGAACTCACAGTCATAATGACATGCTGCTGTATCAGGGATGGACAGCAAGGTAGAGACAAATACAGGAATTGAATCTCAAATTGCAGCAATCCTTTGTCTGGACCAGTATGTTTTCTGCTTGATGATTCAAATTGAGCCACATACCATTGATACCAAATAGTTGGTGTCAATTTAACAGTCAGAAGTATTTTTCAAACTAAATGTTTCACTTGTAATGTAGAGCTAAGGAATGGAGACCCTGGAACCTTGTGTAAACCCCATTTCCTGACCTGCTGAATTTTTCCTTCAAGAATCACTTTGTGTAGTACAGTGAGCATCGGGTCTTTTTCACTAGCAATACTTAATTATCCTTCCCCCTGCACCTGTTGCTTTCTGTTTGGTTTATTTTTGTTTGGTTTTGTTTGTGGCCACCTTGCTATCTTTCCTTGCTGTAGTCAGTTTCTGATTTCCGAAGCAATGACGGAATACTCCAAATGTCAGTTCAGCAGAATACAAAGGTAGCCTCACCAGTACCAGTACAGAGGAAGGATCACCTCCCAGTCCTTTGCCTAATGCAGTCCAGGACACTATTAGCCTTACTTGTGTCTAGGGTTCACCGCTGGTTCATTTTCAGCTTTGGGTCCACGCTGCAGTAATTTCGTATCATCAGCGTACAAAAGGTTAAGTGATGTGCGTACTTTCCTGTCACAGGTGTCTTTAAGGCATAACACACCTTTTTACCCCATGACTGCCAAACATGGGCATAGGAAGTTTCAAGTCATTGTGTATATAAACGTAGGTTTCAGTGCAGCTGTAAAATCAGGTTTTACAGTGCTGAGCCAGTTTTACCTCTGATTTGGTTGTGATCAGGAAACCTTTTTGTTCATCCCCTCTACTCACCACTGTAAGCCTGTATGAGCAAACAATCTACCAAAGCCGTCTGTTCATACCAATCCTGAAGAGCCTGACTTTCATACCTGCACTTTACAGGTCATAGTGGAGAAGGTCTCAGGATCTCAGATTGTTGATATTGACAAGAGAAAGTACTTAGTTCCGTCTGACATCACCGTGGCCCAGTTCATGTGGATCATCAGGAAGAGGATTCAACTGCCATCTGAGAAGGCAATATTCCTCTTTGTAGACAAGACTGTCCCACAATCCAGGTGAGAGGCTATTCACTTGGTATTCAGAATCATTACAGCAAGCCTGTGCATATTAGAGGGCGAGTAACACTGCTCTTCAAGGCTCATTTGGTGATTTTGGGAGATGTTTGTCACATCTTAATCTCACTAGAACTTTTTTTTCCTCATGAATTTGATAAACGTCTTATTTCTTGAGCTAGGCTGAAAAGAAAGGTGACTGAAAAATATATTATGATTTACTTCCATGGCACAAGGGTGAGCTTTGCAGTTATGATGTTGTTGCATTTGGTTAAGTGCAAAAACACATACATCATCAATATCAAGAAAACAATGATTCTCAGTATAACAAAAAAGGTTGCACATTAAATACTCAATAGCAAATGCCATAAATTATTCTGAAAAAAACCAATAACCTGTCAGTTTACAAAGAAATTGTAACATTACAAACTAGCTGCTCGTTCTTTTTTTAAATTATTTTTTTCTATGAAAAAAAATAATTGCAATAGAAAGGTTTTTTGCATTGCTTTTATATAGGAATAACTTTTATTGTTTTCTCCTACATAACAGAATATAGCACAAGCAGCAACTACAACTTTCTACACTAGATACTTTAGTAGCATTTAAGGAAATAGTATGTCATTACATGCCTTAGATGTGATATCATTCTTAATACTTAACTGTAAAAGAAAGAGTCCCTCCAGGTACTCCGATACACAATAGGGATCCATGAGAACCATCCTTTTCTGCTTGTTTTCTTTTAACAATACTGAGAATGCCTATATGTCATCTTTATAACAGTATTACAGAATTGCTAGGCACAGGAAAGGGAGATCCATTGTCTCTTCTCACATGTTCATAATAAGATGTAACATCTCAGCTAGGAAAACAGGGCTTTGATAATTCAATATTAATGTAAAAATGGTAACTTCTTAACCAATAAACAAAACCACAATCTGTTCATGGTTCTGCTCATAAACCTCTGTATGAGGAGAGAAGGATGTCAATGATTGGTGATCTATTTACTACTCACCAATTCACTTCCATTTCAAGTACTGCTTACAAATCTTCCCAGCTCCTCTCCTGGGCAGAATGATGTCATTGTTTTCCCTGTCACTCACATCCATCTCCATCTTTCAGTTCATTAGCCTTTCCTCAGTTTTGGGAAGTCAGAGAAAGGTGAGCTGAGGAGGCTTCATTTGTGCACCCAACTGATGTCTACTGCTCCAACTATCTGTAAATAGATGGTTGGAGCAGTTGAGCAGCCAAGTAATTGCTAGGGTTTCTTTTTGATTTCAAAATAAAGACCAATTTCCAACAAAATAAGGAAGCATTCTGACAAAGGCATTTGTGAAGAAATAAAGAAAATTTACTCTGCAGAGTCCAGGATCATTTCTCTAAATTAGGAGTCAACTGCTTTTCATTTACACTCATTTTTTTTTGTATTGTAACCTATACACAGACTTAATAGTTTTAGCTTTTATTAATCCTTGTTTATATGAAGTTCTGACTGTTAACACTGACAACTTGCATGAGCCAAGCAAACCATTTCTCTTTTTTTCCCTTTTAAGCTTAACTATGGGACAACTTTATGAGAAGGAAAAGGATGAGGATGGATTCTTGTATGTTGCCTACAGTGGAGAGAACACATTTGGTTTCTGAATGGTGGGTCTTGGCTACTGTATCATCCTGCTGTGTATCTTGTAAATAGCTGATCATTTTCTGTTCTGACATCCTCAGAAGTTCCTTCTATATACATGCATTTGTAACTGGATTTATTTCTTAATATATTGCTAGGTCTTGTTTTATTAGACTGTTAAATTATAAAAAGAAAGTTTTGTTAGTTTTGTGCAGCATTTTTTCTCACAGCTATGAATTCCCAGAGCCTCAGTTCTTTGGGGGGATACATTTGATGACATTGATTAAATAATAAAGCAAAGTAGTTGGACTACTAAAACATGAAGAGAAGAACACACATTTATTCTGTTTTGAGATGTTTGTGTAAGAAAAATAAAAAGAATAAATTAGTATTGGAAACACTGGATTTGCTAGCTTATCCAAAGCCAGGAGCAAGATGCTGATCGTGTTGAATTGAGCTGGTATGTTCCTTTCTCAATTAACAAACAAGTACAATAAAAATTCCTGTCACAAACAGGCAGTGCTGTCATTTCTTTACCTTCATTTTGGCCAGAAAGTTACTCAGCACATTTACTAGATGCTACACAGCTGCTTCTGTTACTTACTAGACATTGTACAGCTTCTCAAACTTTAGTGTGTGGTTGCTGATACCACTAGGAAGAAACTAGGAGCTCTTTGTAGGTTTCAAAACAAATAGCTTCAGAGCTACTATATCTCACAGCTACTTCTATTTAGAGGCAAATCCTTGGATTGTGTGGGAGAGGGTGGAAAAACCAGCTAAATGACCTAATTGCACAGTGCTGGAGTTTGCACTCTGATATTAAAGGATAACACTGCATTGAAGAATTAGCATCACTTTGACCTTTCTAAGCCAGCAAGGAAACGCTAAATACAGTTTAGATTCCTGTTAAAAAGTTTTAATCCATTTTCACACTATGTGGTGCCTAAGAATCTAGTTCTTAAAATGCTTCCAGTTATAGTGGAATTTACCACTTCCAAACTTAAATCAAATTCATACTAACTCAAACCCCCACGACGATACCTTACACCTAGAATTGTTTAGCTCTGCAGTCATTCACATGTATTGGCAAAAGGACTCAAAAATGTGAATGTAGGAGCCTGTGAAAGGTTGACACTACCCTATTACTGCGTGTTGACACAGTAACTGTGATGCATGTGCTTACTGCATCTGAAAATGCATTTTCAGATGCAGTAAGCACATGCATCACAGTTACTGTGTCAACAGTTACATCACAGTTACAAGATCTCAGTAAGCCTTTCATTAGTCAGAATAGCGCTGCATTGTAAACCACTGCTTTAGGCAACATTCTGTCAGGGCTTCCATCCTAAATTACTTCTAACTCCCTTTTTACACATTAATGTTTACCCTTAACAGAATTTTTGATTCAGAATGAAGAAAAGTGGTTTCACCTGTCATTTTCTGAATTACCTTTTATTACTGGAAAATGTTCTGTTTCCTTTATGCTGAAATGGTACCATTTTTCTACACTCACCAAGTAATATTTTTTCTTAGCTGTTAACAGAGGAGTAAGAAACACTTAAAAATGCTGAAGTTAGTTACATGCTAGCAAACAGATCTAAAACCAAGGGAAGATGTTATGATTGAGGTAACTTTTGGATTACCCTTCATAAGCCCCTAAAACCCCCACAAAACTGCTCTCTTTAACATCTCTGTATTTATTAGTTTAGATTCAGGAGCCCAGACACGCGAGCAGTTCCAGAGAATGTAAGCATAAATGTTCTACAGCAGTAACTTCACTTTTCATCTGCAGATACATGTTAAATGGCAATAAAATATCAAGAGATTTCCTTTTGAAATTCAGAGGTGAAATGCATCCCTTTAGATAGGACATTCCTGTAAAATTTTACAAAGCATTTGAGCCCATATGATCTTCATTTTCTGTTAACCCTTCAACTGGTGCACTGAACAAAAAACAAAGACAGCAACACCTCTATGTGACTTATCTTTAAGCTAAATTGAAATGTTATCTCCAATATAACTAAACCAGTACTGGATGAATTCAGCATTCAGTCAATATTTAGTATATTATTATAGACCATTATCACATTATAGACATTATTATAGACCAAATTTAGACCATTTACATGGTCTTTCCTCAAGAAATACCTTGCTTCTACATGTATATATTTTAGTTGTGTGTATTATGTACCTGTTGTTGCTGCAGCCCTCTTATGACATTATCAGATAGTCTGAGACAAAACTCCCATGCCTTTCTTTCCTCCTTGCCAACAGAATTCTGCCCTCAGCCGCACAACCCCGGCTCTTCCTTTCCTCTAATGCTTAACGGATTTATTGCAGAGATCTTTTTACTCCTAGTGAAAGGCTGCATCTTGTTTTGGGCTGGTGGTTTGTTTTTCTACAAATATAGCAATTTAAATATTTTTCAGTTTACTCGCAATGTACTGAGATCAGTAAGCCTTCCAGCCTGTGTTAAGGTGAGCAGTGGAAGTACACGGTGAAGATCAAAACCTTGCTTTTCCAAAGACAGTGGGATGCTAACATCTGGTTTTGTGGAACTGCAGCCTCAAGGTCAAACATGATTACTCTCACCCTTGGAGAAAACCACTTGTTTCTATGCTCCAGTTTTGACTTCCTTCAAGATATGCAGGGAGTCTGTCCTGCCTTCTTACTAGGACTGAAAACAGAATAACACCTCTAACAGTGATGCTGTTAGAGACATTCTACTCAATGATTACAGTTTCTTTGTCCTGGCAATTAAGAGCCACTGGTCTCCAAACAAGTTTGGGACAGGCAAGGCCCTATCTGGGTAATACAGATGTGCTCATTTTACACATATGGTGGGAATCTTGGTGCCTTCCTGTGCTCTGCTGCTCTCAACTCCCACTTGTTTGCTTGTCCTCATTAACCATGCACTGTGGGCACTTCATTCCTGCTGCTTCCCTCCCTGCCAACTCTGCTTTCCTGTGGCAGAGTCTCTGCATTCTGCTGTCCTCCCTGTGCCCTGCCTATCTTTGTTTTTCGGGGTATCAGCTATACCAGCGCAAAGGAGTGATACAGGCTTGGAACATATCAACTGTTCCTTTCCAGGAGCAATTCTTCCAAAGACCTGCTGACAGTGATCCAAGTTTAGTTTGCTACCAATTACAAAAGCAGAGACTGTTCTTTCCTATCTCTGCATTTTTCCCTTCTGATTTTTAGATCAGTTTCATGGTACTGCCAACAGCATTTCCTGACATTTTCAAATGAAACAAATGCAGCATTTAAATACTGATTTTCCGTCACAGAAATGCCATCCAGTCGAGGATGAGCTCCCACAGGCTTAGCCCCTCAGCCTTTCAAATGCTGTTCTGTTTCAGCTCTTTCCTTCTCTTTGCATATTCACTGACTTGCTCAAGGCTTAAATATATCCTCAGCTCCATCCAAGAAGTGAAGTTAGCATCAGTGTTCAGCACCTCAAAAACTACTTTTAAATCTGACAGGCAACAAAACAGCAACAGTTGACAGTTCACAAGTATTTTAGAAATTCACAAAAAAATCTTACCAGCAACAATCCTAACAGCCAGGCTCAAATTGTATAAAAGAGTTAGAAGAATTTAAACCATATAACTGCTTATGTGAAAACTGATGCATGACTACAGAACTAGTCTTATGTAACCCATTTTAATATTGCAGCTGAATAGGAAATGGGAACATTCCAGTCTGGTCAGCAGGTTCACTGCAGACATTGTTGATTAACTATGCGAAACTAGGTATGGTAAGTTAATAGTTTCTGCAAGATTTCAGCAAAGGCAAATGTCAGGAACCTGGAAATCTACTGATAGCTCTTTAGGTACACTATAGAACTCTGTCCTTGGAATACTACTTGCTCGATTACAGGAACAGCTACCATTTATTTTCAGCAGTTCACCCTGTAACCCATGTGCAATGGCATCTGGCCATTTTTTATCCTCTGATGACTACTGCAAGTCCCTAATCTCCATAATCCCTTGCCCTCTACAAACACATAAAATTACTTCCCCCTCACCAGTACAACTGGTATTTCTGCATGTTAGTTCTGGATTTGAGAGAATGGGCATATACACACAGAATTCAAGTTGTTACTTCTTCAACAAGAGAACTATTCTTACTTGACAAGTTAGCCTGAGTGTGAAGTAACAAGGATTTGCTGCTATCACTTCTCATACTGTAACGTTATGTGTACTGTTTGGTCCCATATGTAGCTCAGTAGGTTGACAAAAAAGGCTGTTTGGAGAACTGCTGTGCCCATTTTTCAAATCCAAAACTATAGACCACCAAAGAACAAAAAAAAATCAAATCACTAAGGAATTTTCAAGTTCTAAATTATCCACTTCCTTCATCCTGACATTGCCTTGTCCAAATATTTTATGAATCGTGGTTTACAAGAGAAAAATACAAAAGGGGAATGGGCTCAGGAGCAGTTACACAGTCCTGAAATTGCTCACAAAAGGCAATAACTGGAACAGAAGGTTTAAGGAGGATTACACACTGCTTCCCCCACAACTGCTCAGTGTTGACTGTCTTGTCATGCAGATGTTAGTTGGTAATAAAGCATAATGGCAAGAGAAAATAGAAGGAACATGCCAGAGACTACTTTCAATACTCCCCAAAGCATCTCCACCTTTGCCAAGCTATTAATGAACACAAGGGCCAGTGACATAAATAGCTGAAGCATTTCTGCTTTTAACTGACCATTTCCCACAAGGGAGCACGGAGATGGACGGTGCTTGAAACACTGAAAAGTAGGTAAATGTTTGCCAGTAATTACACAGGATTGGCCAATTTGAACCAAGTCATTCAGGAGTTTTCTTTCCTGCCTACAGAGGCAAAGCAGTTGAAATGTTATCTGGCAAAGTCCTGAAACTGAGATGCACAGAATATCATAAGTAGTATTATTTGACACAGACTCCTTCCCAGTGCTTTTGCTTCTGCTGTGACAATATCTGCGGCTATGTTTAGCAAATAGCAGCATATATTAAGGATTCCCACAAAAAGAGACACTTTAACAGAACTAGTTTTTCCAGTTAGAAGCAATGGGGCTGAGGGACATAGAAAATTCTTCCATGCACCAGACAAGAAGAGCTCAGAATTATGAAAGTATTACTTACTATACATGAGGGTTGTCCCAGCAACAGAAAAACAATAACATTATGAGAAGTGGAAGAAAAAAGTGGCACTAAAATTTTCCATAATAATGCTTGAATTTCAGTTGACATTTCTTTCACTGCAATGACTATGGCTGGTAGGCTCTACTTTCAGATACCAGGATAGCACAGCACTGCTTCCTTTCTTTTGGAAGCATATTATTTCATGCAGCTCAGAATTTAAAGTCAGCAGTGATCCTTTTCTATATTTCAATAAAAAGGGGGCTTCAACTCAGTAAAAATAAAATTATTCTCTAAATGGCTTTCCTTTTCACTCCTGTCTCTTCACAGCACATAAACTAGAGGGTGTCGTTTTCTGGCCCTTGAATTACAAAGGTATCTGCTGTGGACCAGAGCTTATTCCTGGATTCACATAGTCACATGGATTCTCATGTGAAGTGCAGGTATTCCTTGGCATTCCTGACCCAACCCAGCAGAGCTTGGCTACGCAGCACTCTCCAGGCTTCTTGATAATTTAACGCAGCTTCCTTGTAGTCCCAGTAGGTTTTTAGTGTCTTCATCCTGACAGAAAATGCACAAAAATGAAAACAATTCTATGATCCTATTGAATATGAGGTCACAAAATGAAAAAAGAAATCAAACATCTAAGGACCTGACGATCTCCTATGAACTCTTCCATACTACTTAGTGAAATTCTCTTCTAGGGAGACTTAGAGACACCCAGGCTTTAAAGCTAGACATCGTCATCAAACTTGCAAAAGGAAGCAAAACAACCCTTCTAGCACTAGAAACGTTTGTGTTTGACTGTGTGACCGCAGAAAACTTCCATGACAGCAAAAGCCACTGAAGCAAAGCTGAAAAGGTAGTTAGGGTGCTTTGAATTAGGTGAAAGTAGCTTTAGCATGCTAGAAAACAGGCTGGAAAAGGACAGAATGAACTAGACAGTTTTTCTTTTCCAACAAAAAACTAACAGGGAAGAACGAGACAAAGGAAAAAACACTCTCTTTTCTTTCCCTAAAGCAAAAGAGACACGACAGTTTTAGTGTCATTCCCCTTTCTCAAGTAGCAACTATGCCCCACAGTCTCAGCAGAACAACTGGTCACTGCCGAGTACATTACACCAACGATTTTCAAAACAGGGAAATGCAAGTCTAGAGTATCTGAACACAAGTGCCTGTAAGACAATTTCATGAAGATTTTTTTTTTCCTTTCCTTGCATTCTGTTCCCAACCTCTTTCATCTTCCTTTGCCAAAACACCTGCCAGCCACATGGGATAGACAATGTTTATACATTAAACCCAATATGAAGGGAAGAGAATAGGCAACATGACCTTCACCAAGAAAGAGAAAGAGCCAAACTACTGCAGGAATCCTAATCTGTGAGCTCTGAGAACTACTGCACTAACCTCTAAAACAGGCTCTCAAGCTCAAAGGCAATTATGAGCACCCCCAAAAAAACCCCACAGCTCTACCATAACAGCAGATCATCAGAAGCTGTGTTTGAGGCACTCAGCATTCTGCCATGAATTTATTTCTAAAATACCGTGACATGCAAAGCACACCATATATCTATCCTTCAAACCTTGTGTTCAGAAAGGTGCAAGAGTGGAGAACCTGTCTATGTAGGGAGATGTATTCTCTTAAAAAACCTGCCCTGCGCTCTTATCACAGCCAATCCATTTTGCTTTCTCCACCTCTTTCACATTATTCATACTCTGTGAAACTAACCTGTGAGCTGCTCTCAAAAGTCCCATGTAAGGGCCCCACTAGAACTTTCCCCCACCCTGGCCAGTGGAATGGCAACAGAACCCCATTATCCATACTGGATCTGGAACTGGAATCCTCCATATTGTGAACTGAGCAGGAAGGAAGAATAGTAGTACAATCTTAATTGTGATGGCTCCTGACTACAATGTAAGAGAAAAGAGGATTAGTCATTAATTTAACAAGCCCAGCAAGAAAGTCAGGGCAGGTTTATTTTACAAAGTCTCCCTTAGATTCAAACAAAGGGCCACACAGCCAGCCACACCTTGCTCAAACAGCAATGCCTGGAGACTCTCTACGGTGGATGCCACCGCATGACAAGAGATGGTTTTCACTTCCCCAGGTGGTCACTAAGGCATGTTTTTTTTCCTAACAGCAGGGAAAAAAAACCCCAGTAATGAAAAAATCTCCTTTGCCATGTTACCATCAAGTGATCTGCAAATAATACTGCAGAGGATTTTATGTAACAATTCAGATTAGCAATAGCACAACACTGTCCAATGGTGTGTCACCATTCCCTTGACAGTGAGCATGGAAAACATGAAAAGAGAAAAAAAAAGATGGACCAGTAATTTCAAAATGATAACGTGAGAGAGAATCAACAGAAGGGAATCAATTTATGCACCAGTAATTTCAAAATGATAATGTGAGAGGGAATCAACAGAAGAAAATTAGGTATGATAGGTGGCGGTAACAGGTAATAAATAAACAACATTAGTCTACCTATTGAGTGAGAATTGAAGTAAGGCACAGAAGACAGATCGTAAGAATTACTGCAAAAGAAGAAAGAAGGTGGGACAGCATTATACAGTACTATCTGGTTCTTGGTGAAGTAGCTCATACCAGCCAAACACCACTTCCTCCTCAGTCTCATCTGAAAGCAAATAAACTAAATCCTGAAAAAACCCAAATTGATGAATGTCATGCTTAAGATCTTAGATAAGCTATACTACTACAAATACCTAAATTTGCCTTTTAGAAGAGCCAGCAAAGTTCTGGCCCCAGTAGGCTGTCTACCTGTTCCAATTCAACAGTACCCACACAGATCCTTCTGTGTGAAGAATGAATATGAAAGTCACAAAAAACAGGAGAAGCAGATTTAGATATACGCACACACACAAAAAAAAAAACACACCAAACAAACAGACAAGCAAAACCAAACCAAAACTAACCAAAAAAACAAATTAAAAAAAAAAAAAAGCCAAAAAAACAAACCAAAATAACATCAAAATAGAATCAGTTCCATGTAAAGCTTTAAATTCCCAGTTCCCAAGTCTGAGAGTGGACAACAGTAAATGAAGGCAGCATTACATCAAGAACAACCCTTGTCTTAATATACCCTACAACTACAAAACAAGCTATTCAGCAAATCTGAAAGTATTACAGAATGAGCATTCCTCGATGGATCAGAAAAAATGGAAGGCAAGAGAAGTGGACTAGAAGAGTCAGGGAAGGAACTTAGGGTCAAAGTGGAAAAAGGAAACTTCGTGATAGCACAGCTTTAGAGCCAACCATTTGCGGGAAGAGATAACAAGATACATTTGAATGAGAAGAAAATACAAAACTGGTAACAGTTAAATACACAGAAGTTTAAAGAAACAATTGGAGAGTGTAGGATTTCTTATCTGAAGTTCACTCAGACTCCAAGAGGGAAAGAAAAATCAAAACATCAGAATACCATGTAGGGAAAAAAAGGGAAGATGAAGGAAACAGCAACACGAAGACACTTTTTAATTTTGCTTTTCAAAAGAAGAGGAGGAAAAACAAAATACTTCCAAGGCAACCAGCTGCACAAGCTGACTGGTGAGCTAGCACCTCCTCTGTATAAATAAAGTTTGTGCAGTAAAAAAACAATGTCACATCTGTGAATCAGCTGGACTTAGTCAGGAGAAGCCCAGACAGACAAACAGTAGAGGACAAAAAAGTCAAAGGAAACAAGGCCAGTGGTCTAGAAAAGCCCTGAGGTGAAGTGACTTTATGTAAGCAGCATGTGATCAGCATAATGAGTCACCTACCCAACAATGCACAAGTTCAAGTCTGTTTTGAGGAAATTATGATGGCTAAAAAAGTGAGGACAAATGCCCACTCAAAAGAGGCTAAAAATTTTATATTTCAAACTGATTTAAGGACAAAGTATCTCTACTTACAGAATCAGTTTAAAGCATCTCAGCAATAGCATGGTCTGTATTGACATTGAAACTTTGAAACAGTTACAAGACACTTCCACAGACACAGAAGGTAAATGCAATGTTTAATTCAACAGAACTCAAATGCAAGCAAGATCCATTAATTAAAGAGCCAGGGTGCACTTTGGGTAAGTTTGTTGCACCTACTATCTTAGTACCATGAAGGGCTGAAATGGCCTATCTCCCCTTCTTTCAGTCACATATGCCTCCTACTTCCTTGGCATGGGTTTCATCTGTTTCAGATTTCCATTAAGTTCGTTAGTCCGAGAGAAAACACAGAAGACAAGGAAATTGTTTTCAGCCACATTACCTAGTTGAACTGGTTCATCATGAGATTGGAGAAATGCTACTGATAAAAGGGAGAAAACACGAATCAACAGCCAGTAGCAGCTGGCTACTGGTGAACTGCTGTGGGACCACCTCATCAGCAGCTACAAGCAGTTAAACTGGCTCAAGAGTTGGGACAACTGCATCCTAAAGCTGGTGAAATTATATCTGGAAGTAAGTCTAAAATAAAATAAACCTTCCTTAGCAATGGATTTGGAACCCTCTACATTCCCAGAAGTCTCTAAAATAAAGAGAACTAAGTTTCTGTACATGTGAAACTATGCTTCGCTTTATAGTACACCACCAAATACATAATGGACATAATGCTATGCCACACTGGATGATTACTGGAAGTAATTAACTCCAGTCTGATAAACCAAATTTGTTCTTAATAATGTAAAGGAAAATTCCAATTATGGCGTCTTCAGACAAAAGCTGCTTTATTTTCTTCCCAGAAAGAAGAATGTTTATGCAACATATGCACTGCAGAAAGAGCCCTATCTATCCTTACCAACCATATGAGAGAAAAATGCAGAAAGAGCACCATCTCACTTTAGTAGCTCTTACTCCACCATATGCTAAGCTGAAAACTGATTTTACCCTAAACTTTAAAAAAAAGAGAAACAAAGAAAAAATTATTTTTTTTTACTCAAATTCTTCCTTCTTGTGAATCAAAGAAGTGGAATTTGACAGAATTACTGAACACCAACTAGATATCAGTAACTCCATGGTAATTTTGCGATGTAGGATTTGAATACATCCAAGGGTAGAGAGGTGCAGGCAGCTGATCCAATAGCTCATGTTTTCAAAAACAAACACCACTTCCTCATCTTGCGTCTCTTTCCACATTTTTCAAGTATCAAACTTTAACAATGGACTTATCTAAAATGAGATTCATGAGCAGATACTGTATCATTACAGTACTGTTCAGTTTCATTAAGATAAATTCATTCTTCTAAAGGCAATGATAATGTCTTTACCGTAGAGAGTCTGGTAGATCCTCTTGTGAAATACTTGTCACCAGCTTTTGGAATTTATGGAAGAGTTCCACTTTACAGATTTTGGATCTGATATAAAAAAAAATTTAAAATTAGGAATTCTGATGGAAAAAAAAATCATAAATTCACTCCACCTTACAGCAGAACATCCCAGCTAAACACTTTTGATAGAAAGCATTATGCTCACTTCTCAGTGAATGTAAAAACTTCTCTATCATTTAACTTTTTCTACCCCATCCAAGCTGCCCACATGCCTTTTCCCTTAGTTTTAAATGCTATATTGACAAAAAGCTGCATTGCCCCATTCTCCCAGCCAGCACTCACCAGTTTGCAGAATGAACACTTTAATATCACACTGTTATCTGCATGAAACTGCACTGTCATCAGTTCAGAGCTCCAGTAAGGTTTAGGCCAGAAGGACTAGTCCCAGAACAGGGGACACAAACAAGCAGAACCTTTTTACAAACTGTTAAATTTTGTATTATTCAAAACAAATAAAAGAAGGAGCAGAAATATCTGAAACAATGCTGATGTTTTCACAATGGTGATGAGGACACATTCAGCAACAGCTGCAGGGCAGTTAAATACAAAGAGGCTCATCAAAAAATAAAGTGAGACAAAGTTTTAAAGATCTTTAAAAGATACTATATACATCTGTCAGCTTTGAGCCCTTCTACTTCCTCAAAGAGATGGCAACCAGAATCCAATCATTGTTTATAAAGTGTAGTTTTGTTTTGAATGGCCCAGCTGTTTCCTCTATTTAATTATCTTTGTGTACTTGTCTTAACAATGACAGATTCAGTTCTGCAACAAATACAAACTGATTCTCCACAAGCACTGAAAACAAAATCAATTAAAAAAAATAAATCTTCCTATGTTGCTAGCATGTGTTTTAAGAACATCAAAAATTGCATAGTATCATAGAATCTCCACAAGGATCATCGAGTCCAACTCCTGGCTCAGGAAAACCCCAATAATCCCAGCATGTGCCTGAGAGCATTGTCCAAATGCTCCTTGAACTCGGACCACTGTGACCACTGCCCTGGGGAGCCTGTTCCAGCACCCAACCACCCTTTACCTCTAGGTAAAGGTGAAGAACCTTTACCTAATACTCAGCCTAAACCTCCTCTGACAGAGCTCCAGCCATTCCTCAGGCCCCGCCATCGGTCACCAGAGAGCAGAGAACAGTGCCTGCACCTCTGTGTCACCCCACAAGGAAGTTGTAGCCTGCTGTGAGGCCTGCCCTCAGTTTGCCCTTCTCCAGGCTGAACAAATCAAGTGATCTCAGCTGCTCCTTGTAGGGCTTCCCCTCCAGACCCTTCATGATCCCTGATGGCCCCCTCCTTGGACGCTTAGAGCTTTATCTTCTTATATTCCTGTGCCCAACACTGCCCGCAGGAGGTGAGGCTGCCCCAGAGCAGCGCAGAGCAGGACAGTTCCCTCCTTCACTCAGCCACCAGTGCCGAGCCTGATGGCCCCAGGATGAGAGTGGCCCTCCTGGTTGCCAGGGCACTGCTGACTCATATCCATTAACCAGGACTCCTAGGTCCCCTTCCGCGGCCCTGCATTCCAGCCTCTCATTCCCCAATCTGTCCATATATGCATGTCACCCTGTGCCATGTGCAGAAACTGGCATTTGTCTTTGCTAAACTTCATGTGGTTGGTGATTGCCCAACCATTTTATTTGTCAAGGTCCTTCTGCAGGGCCTGTCTTCTTTCAAGGGAGTCAACAGCTTCTCCCAATTTAGTATCACTGGCAAACTTAGTGTACCTTTGAGTCCCGCATCCAAGTCATTTATTAGGAGGCTGAAAAGCACTGGCCTTAAAACAGAGCCCTGCTGAACCCCACTGTTGATGACAGCATGCAAAGATGCTCTAAAATTTAATATTCAATTTAATCTGTCAAAGTTTCATCTTGTAGTATTTGGTGGTTTAGTTAATTAAGCATTAACAAAAGCACATACCAGACATTTACCTATAAATTCCTTTTAGTCGGTCAGCCTTACCGTCCTTGTATTTAATGTTATCTAGCATATTGAAAGGGGGAAAAAACCCTCAAAGAACACTTCCCAGCAATCACCCGGAGATTCCTTGAGAGGAAAAAGAATGTTGAAATACAAGTCCTGTTTATTATTAAGCACCATCAGTCCCAATAAGGCTGTAAATTCCTTATTTTCATTATAAAAGTTCCTTTTGTGACTGTTTACCTCAAAAGCGTAAATAGTTCACTTGTGCATTGACGTTGTTTTTAATTCTGATTTCCTAAGGAAACAAGATGTTTGTAATCACACAGTCTTGTAGGCTCTAGTAACTTTTGAAAGTTTTAGTGAACTTCAAGCACACGTTGAGAAGAGGATCTTTCAACAATAATTGAGTTCTTACGCTTTTGTGCTAATTGCCAGCAAGGAGATGGCTCTCAAGTTTTAGAGCTGATGCACAAACGCTGTGTTACAAATTTAATCCTACTGAGAAAAAGGGGTTAGCTGGTTTGTTTGATCTTTCACATGTTTTCTGGAATACTTACATATCGCATATTGAAAATAAATATACTACAGTGCACATGGAGTCTGTCTTAAAAGATGCACTAAGTCACCTAGGTCACCTATGTTAGCAATACTGCAGACACCAATACTGGTCACAAACCACAAAATTCCTGGTCCTCTTCTTTCCACTGAAAATTTGGAAATACTAGGATATACCAGGATAAACTTCAGTCAAATCAGGCCTAACTTCAAGAAGCTCAGAATGTGCAACCTGCAGATAAATTAATAAATTCTCCAAAAGAATTATCTGAGCTGTATTTACTATGCTATTCACCCCCTTGTCAGGATTGTCATCCTCCTTCCAAAAAGTCTGGGGAACATGAACAATGTGACCATTGATAATTTGGTAGTATAATCAGCCAACAGTTAAAACATGAACACCAATCCTTCAGCTGAATTTCCACAGAACAATGATAATTTTGGCACCTCATCCAAAATGAAGATAACACAGAGATGGAGAAATTTGTCTGCAGTTGCTTATAAGTAATTTCTCTCAACATCAAGAAAAGTAAGTACCTATTTCTTTAAACTATGATTGTTGATAGAGGATTTCTCAAAGAGCCAAGTGACAAGCTGGCTGAACCGAGTGCCAAGATGACAGCTAGAAAGGTGACACATTCATGTTAGGAGTGTGCCGCCATCATTTCAACACCTTTTCAAACTTTAAGGCAGAAAGTCATGTTTCAAAGCTACACTTTTAATGATCATGCATCATTAAAAGGATAGACATTAAATGGAGGACAGCTGGCTTGACTATTCAAGTTAAAGAAATCTCTGGAAAGAGAAAATGCAATGCACACATTTCCTTCACAGTCAAAACCAGAAAGCAAAAATTCTGTTTCCTTCAACAGTAAACATCCTTTTAATAAAAACTGATCACAGTTCCTCACCACCATTATCTACAATGTTCTCAACAGGGATAAAGAAATAGGATAAACTTGTTAATTCTCATCTAACTTCCATTATTCCAACTGCCCTTTCTCCCTTACACAGCGACTCTTCCTTTTCCCCTACTCTCTACCTTCCTCCTTCTTCACCGCTCTCTAGATTTCCTCCTGCTCTGACAACATCACATGAGCTGACAAAGGCATGTAAGCTAACAAATGAAACATGTCTAGATATAACAATACTCTCACACCTGCTCTGCTGGCTCCCAATCCCCTTCTTTGTTGTTCCCTGGCGGAAGCCGTCTGAGGTGACATCCAGAGGTTGTTCAGGGACTGCACTCCAACTGATAGCTGCAGAAGACATTGTTATGAACAAGGGAGACGCTCTTGTCACCTAACAGTTCCTTTCATTCTATTTATTCATGTGTTGCTTCCCAAAATAATTCAAACTAGAAAGAGGACTATGGTTTTCCAGGGCCAGAATTCCAGTATGTAACAGAATGTTTACTTTAAAAAAACAAACACACACACACAGAGCTTTCGTCTTAGTTAGATCATTTAATAATCCATGCCTCTAAATTTCTGGCCTTCAGCTTTGTAATTCTCCATTTCTGTGGGGGATTCTACTTTCTTTTGTGCATCCAGTCCAGACAACGCATGAAGAAATTTCCGAGTTAGATGGCTTATTGTCACATCAGGCTGTGAAATACTGCCCTAAACTACTTGCACCAGTCGCTCTGTTTTTCTTAATTTACCGCCTGCTACTATTTTATTGTGTACTCTAAGTAGTTTCATGTTTGATAACTGACACACACCAAATATTTGTAGACTTTACTTGAAAAACATTATTAGGTAGTAGTCATACAAAAATAATTTGTTGAAAGAGATAGCAAGTGCCAACAGCCTTAAACTCTACCCCAAATCTGAGAACTTCATAATCTTCTCAGACTGTAAACTTCTAAATGCTGAAACTCTATATACAATACCTTACAATTTCTAAGTAATGAGCAAAGCATCAGCAGCATGTCAACAGAAACTGATATGTCAAATCTGTCCTTCCATAGCAAAACAGCAGATTCTTCAACTTCTACTACCATGAGACAGCTTCCGTTTCCTAAATTCTCCCTCTTCTCTGTGTTCATAACAGGCAGAATAGTTGCACATGCATTCACTCCTAAGACCATCTTGTTACTCAAGATGCTCAAAGACTGCTTATGTTACTCATCCTTGTATTACAATTCAGCTGTATGCTGCCAATTGTACTTACACAGTGATTCAAGCACAATGCTGTCTCACCCTAGTAAATTACAATCCTGTGTAACATGAAATAACATTAGATACATATGACTGGTATTAAATCCTCCACATGTGAAATATCTAAAAATCACTTGGTTATCAGGATATCAGTTTCTGACAAGCAGCTACAAAGTTACTTAAAAATTAAAAACATTTTCTATTCTTTCACTGTTTCATCGTTATCTCAAACTTCAAAGCACTAAACAGAAAAGATACTTTCCTAAACTAACAGCTGCAATGTTCCTATCAAGCATCTTTCAATACTCTGTGCAACAGTCCCAAATTTAGAGCTTATTCTGATTTTTATTCCTTCAAGAAAAGAAATCACCTGGCATAAAAAAGCGTGCTAAGGCATCATTCATCTTTCTTTAACAGAATGACTTGAGAAGTGTACAGCAAGAAAGACATACACTGAATTTAGTCACAGCTGCTTTCAGGCCTTTTTTGGTAACTCAACTGGCACTACTTTTCAATGATGAAATTTGTTTTTTATCAAACAAAATGAAAGTATTTTCCCTCCTGGCACTTGTAAATAACTCCAATTTAATGAATGTGAATTTCATTAAGGAACACTTTATCTCCATTCTATTTTATCATTAGCTGTATTGTAACAGAAAGCTTCCAGTTCTGATTCAGACAAAGTCTGATCAGAAGCAGAAGGCAGGCATGTCCAAGTTAAAGAAACTGCTTAGCCATGCACACAGAGTGGCAGTTCCTTTCCTTTTTCCCAAATGAGACCATGTTGCAAAATCACATTGAGATTTAAGCATTCATTCATCACCACGGCAAAAAATTGCCATGCCTAAAATATCTATCAATACAACTTTTACACTACAGTACTCTGTATTCTTTCCTCATTCACAGATTTTTGGAGCAATTACAAACATAACTCAGCACGGCAAGTCTTTTGTTCATTACCAAAGAGAACGCAAAACTAACTGAAACAAGAAGTCTTTTGTTTTCTTCTTGTACTCAACTTTTATTTCCCCTGGTTATTTTCTGTCTGTGTTTAATTATAAACTCTTAATCACATCAACCAAGTGTTTATTCAGCCTGAAAACTTCCTACTGGAAACCAGAGGCTGAGACAAATATTATTAACAATTAAGTCATGACCTGAAAATAATTTCTTGCTTTTTGTATTTTGCCACTAGCATACTGGCAAGGAATGATGTTCCATTCCAAACAACCAGACCCATCTCATTTCTATTTGGACTTTTGCACACAGTTACGCAACTAGCCCAAATTAACTCACCTGCACTACAAGGAACAAGTTTTGTTTTGCTGTTACTTTGAACTTCCTGAATTGCCTGTCGGCTATGTTCAAATTGAAGATCTGATTGCTGCAGCTTAACCTCCTGAGTGAGAAAACCACCCGGTAAAGATGAGATGCGCTGACACCTACAGAAAACACAGAAATTTTCAGTACGCTCTTCCCAAACAAGACCATTTTGCACCATTTCCCTTCATTATCTAAAATACATTTCTTTTACATTAAAACTGAATTGAACATGAGTTATATAGGTGAGACAATGAGTTTTGGAGGCATTTTTCCCTTCAGAAAAGTATTTATTAACTAAAACCCCAAAGTCACATTAGTTTACTAGGACCTTGTCCATCCTAAAAAAAAAAATATAAATTGACTTTTAAAAAGGTCTATTTAAAAGCTATTATAATCAATTAAGTGAAATGCAGGACAAAACCTGCAATATACTTCTGCAATCACAAAGATAAATAAAAATCATAAGGTATTTACATAGTCAACTGCATTACATCGGGAATTGTTTCATGAGGCTAAAGGTTTATGATCAATGCCTAAAAACACACAAAGTACACCTAGAGTTCCATGTATAATCTCATCTTTGTTACCTTAAATTATGGTTGCATACTGAATGACATTACGATCATAAAAGAAAAAAACAGCATGTGTTTAATCACTACAATATTTACACAGAGTGTTTTTTTCCTTGCTCTCCTTTCCCTTCACTCTGCCCAAATGCATTTACCATTCCCTACTGCTCTACTCTACTGATTTAGCCTCCCAAGTAAGAAAAATGTTCACTTGCTATCCTTGTTGCTGGGATAGTTTTCATCAGCTGAAGAATCTGAGTAGAAAGAAGGCCAGTGCACAACAGATAACCTTCCTCATTTTGCAGCAGTTCAGTTCATCTCTCATACAGATTTCCCTGAGGTGACAGTTATGTTATGAGAGCTCCACTACACACAGCAAGAAAAAGATCAGGTCTTGGATGTGACTGAGATTAAAGAAGCAGACAAATTTTTACAACCATGAAAACAAATATAAGCTTTTCCTCTCCAGTGTAACACAACTGTCTTCTTCCAGCTGACCAGTACAATCTGTCACATACTATGTGTCCTGAAGCACTGTAGTAAATCACAGAACAGCTGAGGTGGGAGGGGACTTCTTGTAGGTCATCTAGTCCAACCATCATTCTCCAGATGGGCAACCTACAGACAACTGCTCAGGACAGTGTCCAGATAATTTCTGAGTAACTCAAAGACAGGAGACTCCACAACTTCTCAGGGCAACCTCTGCCAGTTCTCAATCACCCTCAAAGTAAACAAGTGCTTCCTGATATTCCAAGGGAACTTCCTATGCTTCAGTTTGTGCCCATTACTTTTGTCCTATCACCAACACCACTGCAAACAGCCTGGGTCCATTTTCCCTGCCACCCCACTTCACATACGTATACAAAGTGACAGGATGCCTACAAGCCTTCTCTTCTCCAGGCTGAGTAGTTCCAGCTTTTCTCAAACGAGAGATGCTAAAAATCCATTATGCATCTTCGAGGCCCTCTGGTGGCCTCTCTCCAGTATGTCCACATCCCTCTTGTACTGAGAGACCCAGAACTGGACACAGCCCTTCGAATGTGGGTCTCACCACATCTGAAGGGGAAGGATCATCTCCCTGGACCCACTGCAATACTCTGCCTAAAGTGGCCTGAGACACCATTAGCCTTCTTTGTTGGTAGAGCACACTACTGGCTCATTTTCAACTTCACATCTAGCAGGAACCCCTAGTCCTTCTCTGTGAAGCTGCTTTCCAACGGGGCAGCCCCCAGCATATATTGGTGCATGGGACTGTTTCTTTCCCAGGTGCAGGTTTTTACTTCCCCTTGCTGAACTTCATGAAGTTCCCACTTTTCTCCAGCCTGCTGAGGTTGCTGTGGATGGCAGCACAATGCCCTGGTTGATCAGCCACTCCTCAGTCTTGAGTCTTCAGTAAAATGTCTGGGCATACAGTCTGCACCATCATCCAGATGACTGATTAATGAAGATATTAAGTAAGTTTGGACCTAGTATTGATCCCTGGGGTACATGGCTACTTACACCTTTAACTACACTTAGCCTAATGATCACTACCTTCTGGGCTCAGTCATTCAGATAGTTTTCAATCCACATCCGCTCATCCAGCTCACACTTTACCAGATCCTCTATCAGGATTTTACAAGACACATTATTGAAAGCTTGCTAAAGTACTAATATTTGTACGACATGCATTGCCTTCCAAGGCTCCCTGTCCCCATATGCACCATCTGAGGAGAGCACTTACCTTTCAATAACTGCTCTCCGCATAGCTTCTTGGCTATATGGACACTTTCCCACAATAACTGCTGACAGATACACTGGATACTGCAGAAAATGCATCAGAAGAGCTCCTTGACACCCTAACACATTCCAGCGAGCCAGTTTATCACTGCAGGACATAGAGCATGTTCTGTCTCCTCGACCTGGCTTCACTCGTAATAATCCCACACAGTGGTACCCCAGCCCAGGTATTCGGGCATCATCTAGCTCTCCAGGTACACATTTGGCTCCAGTTCTGTGAACATCTACTACCTTTGGTCTCACTAAGCCACTCTCCTTATTAGCTGTCTGCATCTCTGCAGAACATTGACAGCTCTTCTGATTTGCGTTGTCTTCTCGTTTCACAGATCCATGCTGAACAGCCAGGTCTTCAGTGGTTATGGAAAAACAACCACCATCATCAGTTTTCATTCTCTTGATTATACAATTCCTTGCCATCTTCTCTGATTTTCTTACATCTTCTGGACATAAGTCATTATGGTCACTTCTACATTCTGCTGATTGTCCAGCTGCATGACCTTCAGTCACTGGCTTAGGAAGCTGGTTCTCTGGTTCACTGATTGGAAAAATAGAAGCATCTCCACCTGAGACAAAAGAAATAGCATGAAAGTGGCCAAAAACCCACCTTGTGATGGGAACACATCATACCAGTAATATTACAACTACTAGTAGCTTTCACAGATCTGCACTCAGGAAAACTTAACTATGAGAACACATTTTTGAAACAACATTGTCCTGTGCCAAGCTACAACATTGTCCTGTGCCAAGCTGAATCAAATCTCACTGAAATTTGAGCCAATATATGCTTCATTTCAAGTTCTGCTTTCTATGTAAGAGATAACCAAGAAAGCAAAATTTACAACCTATAAAGTAATAGGTAACAAAGGCATTTGACAGACTACAAGAAGTGCTGAAGACTCACACGAAAACCAGCCTGATCTAACAAAGCAATATGAACCTCAAAAGATTAATGAAAGAATAATCTGTCAAGTAAGGGAGAAAACTTTAATCTGTATCACTGAAACAAGCTCAGAACCAAAATTCTAAAACTCAGTTCAAAGTTAAGCAAACCTGACAGGTCTGCTGATTTATGTGAGAAATTTCTCACAATGTGAGAAAAAAAAGGCAATGAAATTATTCTCACTAATAAATTTGGAGATGTAATTTCTATTCTCAAATGCACTAATGAAGAAAAATAATATTGCATATTCCAGCAATGCACTCGAGATCATGAAAAAGTATGAGCAACTAACTCACTCTGAAGTACTGATGAGGCATATTTTGAGAGTTCTTAAAACTCCTTTGCTCTGTAACAGACTAGCAGCTGAAGAACACACCAGTGAGAGAGCATGGTAACATCAAGATGTGTGATATGTTGGTAGACTAAATCACATTCCTTCCTTCTGTCAACAGATCTTCATCTTTGTGGTGCTGTTTTTTTTAAACATACAAATAATGTTTTCCATGACAGAAGTTTCATTACATTCCCAAAGAAGTTTTGTGCTGGGGAGCTAGTGATGATTCATGAATGGGGCTTTTATTCTTATTTTTCAGGAGCGTGGTTTTGGTTTGTTGGGGGGTTTTGTTTGAGTGAGTGTTGGCTCTTCTCCCTTGTTTTTCTTTTTGCTTGGTTTTGGGTTTTTTCTTTGCTTGTTGGTTTGGAAGTTTTTTGGTGTTTGTTTGGGTTTTTTTTTCTTTGTTTGCTTCATGGGGGTGGGGGTGGTTGTTGGCTGGGTGTGGGGTATCTTTTGTTTGGTTGCTTTTAGGGATGGTGGTAAATGCCAGTAGTTTTTATTAAAATTTTAATCCGAGGAGATAATGCTTGAAGCAAAGCAAATAGGCAGGACCTCTGACAAGTATATTATTTTCTGGAAAGAAAAATAATAGCTACTGTTTGAAGTGAAACATTCCACTATATAATGAACAGTACATCAGACTTACTGAGTTCTCCTGAATCACATCCGGTGAGATAAAATGCCAAATCCATCTGTGGAGTCAAATACATCTTGGGACATGTATTTGTAAACATGAATTACTGCCTCACTCTCAATCCAGACCAAAGAGAGACAAAAGAAAGACATGGGGCAGAAAAGATTCTACAAGTGGGACCAATGTACTTGGTTCACTCCAGCATACTCACATGGGGTATGGCTGGAGAAGAAAATAAAGATAATATTTGGTTTGAGTTTCCATTTCCCAGTTTCAGTTCCCGGACTAAAAATGCATTGCTGATGGGAAGCTGCAAGCCACAACTGATGGAGAAGATACCTGTTAGGCAGAAAGTTCTCATGAAACATTGACTTCCTTTTTGATGCATGAGAAAAAAACAAAGCTGAAATGCCCTCTAGAGTCTGTTCTTTCCTGATGGGAGTCTATCAGGAGCCAATCAGTTACGCTTCTACAGAGAGATAGCATCCAACATAATAAATGTAAACTCATCATTGGAACTTTAATAACAGACCTCAAAGAGTTGGGTCCAGTGGAGTTAACGTTAACCATCTCAAACTGTATAGAAAAGGTCCTCTCCCACCACTGTGTGTGTTTTTATCAACTCTGCAATTCATCTTATTCTACGAGACTCAGTTTAGTGACATGGAATTGCAAGAAATGTACTCATTTCTGCAGAATTACTGTTCCCCTGGCTCAGCTTCCTGAACCAGTTTATCCCATGTAAAGAAGAGGACTGGCATACGGGAAAGCGCAAAAATTCTATCCTTGAATAACAGTCATCAGATCTGCATTGAGGTCAGATGAAATCAGATCCTAATTCTTCATACAGAGGCTCCAGAAGAACAAGGAAGAAGCTTTTGTGAAAAGGCCTTAACACTGCCCAGAAGTATAAAAATTAAGCTAAAATCCTGCTGACAACAGGAAAAAGTGTGTTGCCCACACAGAAGTAATGCAGTCTTTCACTACATTCTCATATGTGAAGCTACAAAATTTGGCTACTTCAGCAACAGGTCAAAACGATTTTTGTCACAACAACCTCAGGCGGCACTGAGTAACAGCACTGTTACAGCATTGAGTAAAACTTCATTCATGCCTCACCTCTGGAAGCTCCTCTTGGCCACAATTTCAGCATGGCTGTCATTCAGAATGTCTCCTAAACCAAAACCCAAATGCAAATACTAAATCATTACTAAAAAAAAGACAAAACAAATGGAATTCAACATAGGACAGTTCTCCATATTTATTAGTAGGTTTCCCATTGGTTTTAGAGTATTGCAAGATATTTAAACTTCCAATCATGACAAAAGGAGGTCAACAGCCTACACAAATGAAGGATAAAAGTACTCAGTCTGCAGCAAGTCAGAGACTTTTTTGAATACCAAATTTTTACTCTTCCAATATTTGAGTTGAATAAACACTACCATCCTTCAAAATCTTCCTGACTTTTGTTTTCAAGGGTAAATCCTGATATTCTCAAAACAAATTCCACCAGAAAATTTCAAGTGCTGGTTAAGCTTTTGGCTGAAGATTCATTTTGAACTATGTCCTACAATTTAAACTATTTTTCCTGAAAATAATTCTGATACTTACTAAGTATGCACATCTCATCTTCAGCTTTCCTGAACAGTATCTGCCTGTTACGCCATGTAAAGGAACTGGAGCTGTAGATCATCTTTTATTTCAAGCATAAAAGGCCAAGCAACAGAAATCCTCCTTAACACCTTTAAAAGTTTAGAAGTGATCTAACAAATAACCATCAACATGACCTACCACCAAGTTTAAAATGTTATCATAAGAGGAGAGTATTTTCTAAATTTGAGATCACTGAAGACAAACAATGGCAAAACAAACTAGTGTTACTTTTTCCTAGTCAATTTTCTACTCAGACTCTTAATATCTAGATTGTAAATGATACAACAGTTTGATCATAATTTTCCTAAATCAGTCAGAAAAATGTCTTTATCAAAACTCTTCTGAGATGGCCAAATCACAAGAAACATGCAAAAAGTTTAAGATACAAAATCTAGTTTCTTCTCTTTTGCTCCACTAATTAATTTCAAAATGAAGGACACTATAGAGAATATGAAGTAGCCTAAACCAGGTACAGGCAAAACCCTTTCTCATATCTCAGTCTAGTCCTCCTCTGAAGTCTAAAGAGGGTAGAAAGCCCTGTACCTTCACAAGCATGAACACTTTGCACCCTTAGCCACTTTTCAGCATTCGTCATTACTACAGCTTCTTCCCTGTCCTAGTGGAGGAGACAGATACAGCATGAATTAAAAAATGGACACAGAGAGCAAGGAAAGTCTCCTACAATACACAGTAAGAAATGGTAGTTGCAAGAAGCTGTGTACGTATCCCATACATTTACTGTACAACACTTAAAACTATCCAGCAGTAATATGCAGTCAGAAAGAAAAACCCTATTAGTACCTTCCTGCTGGCTAGTACCAGCAGTGGTAACCTCTTGCATCAGACCCCAACAAAATTACACTGCAACAGGTAACCAAAGCACAATTATTTGGCTTATGTTTTGTTTTGCTTTTTGTTATGAAGTCTTTGAGTATGCAGACTCAGGGACTAAACCACAAATTTTCAAAAAGAAAAAGTTCATTCACCTTTGAAGCAGCAAGTGCAGCAAACCTTCCTGGCAGCCATTGTGGCTGCCAAAGCTCCTCCCTCATTGATGAAGGAAGGTTGCCTTAACACTTCTGGCTTCAATCCAGAACAAGTCTAAGCAGTACGCCTTGGACATCTTCACTGATTCTATGACACCAGCAAGAAAGAAGGTAGCATAGGTAGTCTGCTCTTGAATTTAATATCATACTTACCAGTTTTTCGCATTTTGTTTTGGCCAATGCATTTTGTTCCAGTTCCCATAGCAACAACTTCCTTAGTTACTGAAAGAGAAACAACATTAATTGAAAATAAACAACATTAACTGAAAAAACTATCACCTCCAACTATTGCCAGAAGCATTGCTCTCATACAGTCATTCTAGTAAGACAACACACAGAACACTGAGTAGAAGGGAATGTACAGAGAGGCAGATCATGCAAGCTTACAGAAAGGAAAGAGATCGAAAACTGAATATAGAAGCGCTAGTGCTAGGAAAATAGTGCTAGGACCACATAGAAGGAATGCTAAGACAGGCTTGATATGCTAGACAGCACACAGCAGACACTGCCATAGCATTCCTAGGCACATAAAAAATAAGAAATATGGGATACAATCTGCCTAACAACACTGAAGTGCCAGTAAGGGAAAAGAAGATGATGACAAACTAACACAAACACAGGATGTAGTAACCTGTTACAGGAGAGCAAACCTTTCTCGCATTCTATCAAACATGTTTTTTCTGGAGTTTGTATTAGGAATTCAGGCCCTGCCTAGACTTTCACCACATATTGAACAGCCAAATGAAGGCTTTCATTGTCTTGTTTACGGTCTGGGAAGAACAGCATTTCACTAAAACCACCTCTTTCCAGCCAGAAGTTGTGAATCACAACAATCACAGAGTAAAGAATTTGGGTGGAGACAATGGAATAGGAAGGGATTTATGTTTTTTTAAAGGCATCTCACAAAAAGGAAGTATAAAGAAAGCATGAAGAACCTTCTCTGCCCCTCCCTTCTCTCCCACCCCTATCTCCAAAATTCATTCTTACCCTGCAAGTTTCCTGGACTATCAAGAGCCTCTCCTTGGGCTGCTGATTCCACTTTGACAACAGCTGCCAGGGAAGTCCATTCCCTGTTTGGATCTGGTTTCCCCTGCTTAGGAAGTCTGGTCCTGTAATGCAGGTAACATAACCCAGCGATTTCATCAGCTGACCACATGGCTCTTGATTCGAACGTGCAGGTTCTACACAGAATTGGATTCCATCACAACACTTGAAAAACAACCCCCATGTCTTCAACGTTATCAACCTTGTTCTGCATGACACTTTCCTGCACCATATTTCAACAACAAAGACCTAACTGCCTCATCCCTTTCAGTACTACTTATAAGAAACAAGGTCTTCCAAATCGCAAGAAATAAAAAGCAACGCTAGAACCCTGAAGTGCAACAGCAGGTGGGTCTGCTGGGTTCCCAAAGCTCGTACTATGCAGCAATCAACCGCATGCACCACGCCGCCACTCCGGTGAGGTGTCTGCAGCACACCTGAGGCGCCTAGCACTACCAGCCTCCTTCCGAGGCCGCCCCCTTGCCGAAAGACCCGAGGCAGCCCACGCTCCGAGGGCGCTGCCTCCGCGCTCGGGCGCACCTCCCGCCACCCCGGCTGCAATCCCTGCAGGCCTCCGCCTACCCGCCGGGACACCGGCGCCGCTGCAATCCCTGCAGGCCCCTGCCTACCCGCCGGGACACCGGCGCCGCTGCTCCTGCGCCGCCAGGACGGGCGGCGACGACCGAACCTCCGGGGCCGCGCCGCTCGCAGAGCGCCCCAGGGCCCGCGCACGCGCAGCCGCTTCTAGCCCGTGGCAGCCGCCGCTCCCGGCGGCTCTTGCGCAAGCGCAGAAAGACTCAGAGACGGGTGCAGAGAAAGCTGCCTTTATTGAAGGTGTGCGCCACTCCGAAGCTCAAGCAGAGGTGCCCTCGCCGCGCTCAGGCCTCACGCGGAGGTGCCTGCGGCGGTCTGGAGGCTTACACAGAGGTGCCCTCGCCGGGCTGCGCCTCCTTCTTGCTGTCCTCCGGTTTCATGGCGGGGAAGAGCAGCACCTCCTGCGAACAGCGACAGAATCAGCGGCCGCGCCGACCGGCACCACCACATTCCGTGCGCAGGTCTCGCGAGAGCTGCCCTAGCGCGGGCTCCGCTGCTCGGCCGCGGGCCTCAGAGAGCTGAGCAAGGGCCCCAAGGGGCTTTGCCCAGGCGGGATTCCACGGCTCAAAACATCTCATACAGCTCCACTGCCAGGCACTGGCTCCCTCGAAGAGATGGCCAGCTTTGCTGAACCCCATTCCCTTTTCCCTGACAAAGCCAGCAGTAGGAAGGCACTACCACTGCTTATGCTTACCTTGATGTTATTGGAATCTGTAAGGAACATGGTCAAGCGATCAATTCCCATGCCCCAGCCAGCTGTAGGAGGAAGACCATACTCAAGTGCGGTGCAGAAGTTTTCATCAATAAACATGGCTTCATCATCACCTGCAGCTTTTGCCTAAATGAGGAAATTAATAGTAAAACATGAGTTGTACAGAGTTAGTAGGCATTCCTTCTAACCCCTACAGAAGAGAAGGGATACTGCTATTTGTAGCAGCCATGTAACTGATGAAACCAAAGCCCAATAGAGCTGTGCAAATGAGTAACAGATGAAGAAATCTCAGCACAGAGAACTGTGGAGGTCCTTTGTATAGGTGCTCCCAAGATAGTTGTAGACTCCATTCCTTTCTGACATGTAAGTTTCCTATCTTGGCAAAGGCCCAGGCTCTTTACATCAGTAAAAGCCATCTTTCAGAGCCATATGGCAGCAGATGAGAGCAGAATGAATTGCTTTCAAAGGCTTATGAGGTTCTTTATTGGTAGCAACTCTCCTTTCAATGTTTGCAGAAACCACAAAGCAGCATAATCGGTGGAACCATCAGTAGCTGCTCCACAAATAGGGCCTGGTTCTTTTCCTCTCAAGTGGAAGACTAAAAAACCCTACACTGAGATGTTAACTAATATACCTGACCCTGAGAGCCTTCAAGTGACAAAAGTCATAGTAATAAAAATACAGATTAGCCAACCATTTCAAATTGAGAAAAAAAGCCAAAAATAAGTGTCAAAACAGCAAACAGTTTTGCTCACAGTTCGAGGAAGACTTTGCAAAGACTGTTACAGCAAAATTTTCTCCTTGAAATCCTGAAATGAAAATCCTACAGGAAACTGTCATCCTTCATCTCAGTCTCCTACTTTACATTAAATTTTGAGGCTAATTTGCATTCAATACATATAATCATATGTCTGCAGTCTGGCTATAATCATGAGGGAACTGCTGCAAGCATAAATATAACAGATCAAAAATTAAAGGTACTTGTAATATTATTCATTTTGACTGAACATTCTGAAATTTACTATCAAGTTCATTAGTTAACATAAATCTATTTTCCTGGCTTTGACAATTGTTTAAACCTCTCAGGAGTGTGAAGCCATTAGAAAAAATATGAAGATCAGGAACTCTGTTTCTGCCGACCACATCATTTGACCTCAGTCATGTGTGGCCAAGTATACATTCATGGATGTGCATACCAAATTAATAACAAAATGAATTTCAGTCACTCTTTTTGGAGGCTCACAGAGAGAAATCTACTATTATAAATCTGCAAGCCTAATAGTTCTCAATGTGCATCTCTCTTCCATGAGTCAACCTAATATATTAGTACTCTGCTCAGGAAATTAAGATATTTCTTAGACAGCATTCAAAGTCTTACAGGACATGAAAATTTATTTAAGAACCTAGAAGTATGATGTTGTATGACTACATAAATACTTAACTAAGGAAAAAAAAACCTTTTCAACCTGGCAAAGACACAGAGAACTTTTTGCACATTTGTTTTTCCAGATTAGTAGTTTAGGTGGAATAAAAGGGAAGATATCCAAAACAAAGTTGCACTAAAAAAAAACCTTAAAGAGCAAGATTCCTATGAAAGGAATGGCATTTTAATGACAGACTTTTATTTGAGTGACGAACACTCACTCAAAGTAGTAACAACTCTTTTCAGCAGTAGGTATTAACAACAGATTTGAGACAGACATAGGAAATACTCTTTGCTTGCATGCCTGTATTACATTCACTATCAGCATGACACCATACCTTGGCCTGATCCTCAAAAAGCTGACGCTGTCGGAAAGGATCATTAAGTTCTGTGTATGCATTGCACACTTCCTTCTTCATTACAAAGAGCTCAAAGCGTTCTGTTAGTCCCGGAAGAGAGCGATGCCTATGTGAAGCAGACAAAACAGACATACCGTAAAATAATATTACTTACAGAAGCAAACAGCACATACATTACTTAGGGGCATTGCTCACACTTAGCACTAACAGCTGTCAAAATTTCAAAGTACTAAGCATTGACACACCTCTTCCCTGGATGATGGGTTTCACAGCTCAGGAACCAACGTCTATCTTGGTTTGTGTTAGAATTCCTAAACTAGTATGCAACATCAAAATCTGTTTTCACATATGCAACTTTTTTTTTTTTCAATTAATTAAGTAGAAAATTTGAGCTACACACTGACCATGCGTGATACTCTTACCATTTAGCAAGTGGACTCATGACCTGTGGGTGATCACAGATGAATGTAGGGTTGATACAAGTGACTTCCAGGAATTCACCAACTAACTGGGAAAACAAAAACAAAACAACGTAGAGTTGATACAAGTGACTTCCAGGAATTCACCAACTAACTGGGAAAACAAAAAAAAAACAATGTAGGGTTGGTACAAGTGACTTCCAGGAATTCACCAACTAACTGGGAAAACAAAAGTGAAACAATTATGCAGTGTACAATTATGCACGTTCCTAGCACTGCCTTCACCAAGCACCCTAATTTCCTCTCTTTTGCTGCTGAAGAAAGTACCAAAACTCTGAAAAGTTTCTGAAGTATTTCTGGTTATGCTAATGTCTTCATCAACAGAGAGTGCATCCTAGTCAGGCAAGGAAAAATGACACAGTAAAAACTGTATAATAATTCAATTTGCACAATACAGCAAGGGCCAATAGGAAAAGCATCAAAAGAACAGCTATCAGACAATATTTGGGTACATCAGAAATAAAGAAATACAGCTGATAGAACGATATTGTACTCCTACCCTTTTGGTCAGCTACATACAGATACACACATCTCACAGATAGAACTGACCTACAATAAAGCAAATCTGTTTTCAACACAAGCAGCCAGTTATCCAACTAAAATCCCCTAATGCTCAAGTTAAGCAGACATAAGTAAACTACACTTTGGTGTAGACGACATGAAAGAAGATTTTGACACTGCAAGTTTTCTCACTGTAATATAACAACAGCTGAAGTGCATTGCAGCATGCTTTTCCTGGTGCAGCTAAACATTTTCTTCTAAGAGACTTCTGTTGACACAGAGAGATCCTCAAAGGCATTAGGATTATAAAAATAGCACCCTTACTTACTTTGTCAAGAAGCCTGGCTGTTGTCCTGGGAGGTGGACACTCAACATTTCTCTCCACACAAAGGTTATCAAAGAACCTGCGAGTTTCTGAATATGCAGATGAAAATTAGAACAGCCATCCCAAAAATCATGTTTTGCTCTTACTAGATCCTTCAACATTTCTGAGAGTGACTTGTAAAATCCCAATGGTAGACATCATGGAAAACATGGGCTTAAATGTTAATCTATAGAAATGGTGTTTGGTTTTAATTGTTTACAGTAAAATAGTAGTTATTTTATACTTCAGAAATTTGACAACAGTTAAGCACACACCACATAACTGCTGGACATTATTATTTGGGGGCTGGGGGGGAAGAGAGAAGGGAACCGGGGGGGAAAAACAATCACTATAAATTATATGAACTTGTTTCCTTATGTCTCTCGATTCCAGGAATAAAATAGCACATAATTACATTTTTAAGAAGGTCCCAAATAATCATACACCCAAGCTACAATTACAAGCACGGAAACTCAACTGCACGTGAGATAAGAAATAAGAAGCAAAAAGCTGAATCTCTTCAACAAATCAAGAACTCCATACATCAAGCTTCTTGAGTATATCCTTTCACATATATTCAACAAGGAAGAGCCAAAAGAGTCAGATCCTGCCAAAGATGGCAAGGAATGAATGCTTCTTTCTGGACTCACGTAAACCAACAAAACCAGAGGAAAGATAGTACTACTGCAAAAAAAGCAGCTAACAGACTGCAGCCTTAGAACTGGCAACCTTTCTGTTAACGAAGAATTACAGGACATTCATATTCAGCATCTAACCTTCAGTTTCAAAACACTCAGTTGATGGAAACTTCACTCCCAGGACCTTTTCCAGATCATACACCATGCTAATTCGCCGGAAGGGAGGAGTAAAATCTATCTCATAGGCCTGTCCATCTTGACCATCTGGATGGTAAGTGATCTTGTAAGTCCCAGTAATATGTTTCACCATCCCTACAAAAGGAATGTGAGGTTTAGAAAAGGAGTATGCTACATAATAACTGATTCTTCCAGAGATTCTTACTCTTTTTTAAATTGCATACTTCACCTGAGAGCAACTTCTCTGTAATTTCCATTAAGTCATGGTAGTCCGCGTAAGCCATATAAAATTCACAAGTTGTGAACTCAGGGTTGTGAGTCAAATCAATTCCTTCATTCCGGAACTGACGCCCAATTTCATATACTCTGTCCAGACCACCAACCACCAACATCTAAACAAAATGAAAATCTAGTATATACACTTTCTCAAAAGAACCTAAGAGAGCCCAAACACATGCAACTGCAACACAACCTTACAAAACTCATTCATGAGACAAGTCGATCTTTCTTCAAAAATAATCTCCATTTTAGCTACATTTGCTTTTTTTAATACAGTTTGAAAAATATAGGCTTAGCCATGAGAGGCTGCATTTTACCTTATGGTAAAGTTCTGGAGCAATTCTCATATATAAATTCATATCCAGTTCATTGTGGTATGTGACAAATGGCTTTGCCACAGCTCCGCCTGGAATTACATTCATCATAGGAGTTTCTACCTGTAACAACAAAAAAAATTCCCCTGTTTTCATGAAATCTGTTTCCAAACCAGAAATGCATAGATCAAACAAACAAAAAAACCCAAACCAGCTAGTTTTGATGAAAAATCTATATTTCACTTACAGTTCAGCATTTCAGTGTATGAAAACAATTCTAAACTAAAGTCCACTGAACAAAACTGCACTTTTTTCATCCAGTCAATAATAACAAATTCATCTGTTGCTCTGAAGAGTCACTCATATTTACTACAAATGTGAACCTGCTGGCTTCATGTTATCAAAGCCAGGAACAGTGCTGTGGCATTATCACAAAATCCTCTCTCTACACTCCAGAAAATTGAACTCAAGAAGGCCAAGTGCAATTTCCTGCACCTGGGTCAACACAATTCAATTCTGCCTACAGGACATAGAACTGGCTTCTATATCCAGAGGCAAAACAACATTTCAAAGATGTTGTTTTCACCCTAATTTACTGAAATATGGAAAGGAGAGTAGTAGTTTGGAGTATTACCTTCAAAAAAGGTTCCCAAGCCATAACCTCACCAACTGATAAATAATCTTAACTTTACAAAGAGAGGAAAGGAATTGCTCCCATTACATTAAGCAGATAAAATACACCATGCTGAGGCAATTATTGTCAGTTCTGTAAGTGCTTCGTATATGAGCCTGAATATAAAACATCCTTGAAGCTAAAAAACTGTAAACACATTCAGTATGCAGAGAGAAAAAACACTGATGCCTTACCTCAAGAAAGCCCAACTCATCTAGAAAGCTACGAAGGTAAGTGATGATCTTTGCACGGGTTATAAATTTCTGCCTCACATAATCATTAAGAATTAAATCCAAGTATCTCTGACGATATCTGGTTTCCTGAAAAGAACACATATCTTTAGAATGAGCTAGATAAAATGTCATGCCAAAGGAAAAAAATACCAAAACAAAACTAATATTCCTTTGTTGACTGATAGTATCAGCAGGTAACAAACATCATCCATTCAGACCTATCTATGGCAATCTTGCCCATGGCAGGGATGTTGAACTAAACGATCCCGAAGGTCCCTTCCAACCCGAACCATTCCATGATCTGTCAAATTGCTTCCAAGACTGACAGGTATGACAAATACCTTATCTTTGAGGCCAAAATGAAGATGAGGCAACATGTGCAGGCATGGAGACAAGAGAGTGATTTCATAAGGAATAATACTCAGTTCCCCTTTCCTTGTTTTCCCAGGATTCCCCGCTACACCAATAATGTCCCCACGACGCAGCTTGCTGTTAACACGGAAATATTCTTCCTCGGATTTGTAGAGGCTGCAATTGCAAAACAAACATAAGCACGTTTATTTAAAATTCAATACTCAAAATTGTCCCCAAGTGTCTTACAAGACAAAATCCATTAAAAAAAAAAATATATATATAGGTTATTTTAACCGGAAGTCAACCACAGCATCTAAAGCAAAACATTACTTGGCTGCCTAAGCCAAACCACAGATGAAATAGAATATTTCATCTCAAAATACACATATCTAGACCCCAGAATGCTAAATTGAATGCTGGGAATACCTCTACTTACCTGGAATTTGCCATGACCTGCAGCTTGACTCCTTCACCACGAAGATCATAGAAAATCAGTTTCCCTCCAGCAGCACGCTTTGCGTGGATTCGACCTAAATATCAAAAGTATGCTAGACATCAGGAAAAGAGTCCCTACCAGAAAGGGTACAGGGGCAAAAGCCACAGTACTATCACTTAGAATCATCAGCTCTGAACTATTTAACTGTGAAAGAGAAGCAGTTCAGTCTCAAAATGAAATCTAGTGGAAATAAGACTGTAAAAACTTTGGATCCCAGAACCCATGTTACATACAACCTGATCTTATAGTTGCAAGGGATGCTGCACAGATCCACTCAGTCTGAAGGGTATGTCCTGAATAGTTTAACACAGCTACAAAGCTTCACGACTGAGTAAGAGATCAGCAAAATTCAAAAAAGACCAACCCATCAATAAAAGCAGCTAAAACTTTATATTTTCCTGTATCCCAGGTAAACTTTTACCTGCCACTCTCACGGTAATGTTTGTCAGGTGATCTCCTGGCTGCAGGTGACTGTACTTGTCTATAAAATCTGAGAGAGATATGTCAACGTGGAACTTGTGGGGATAGGGATCTTCACTGGAGCCCTTAAGCTGTTGGACTGCATGGCTACGGATCTTGTAGTATTGCTGTCACCAGAAACAAACAAAATCAAATTATTTTATTAGAATATGAAAATATGTTACAGGCTGTGAATTTAAAATGTAGCTGCCCTAATGTAGGAATATACATCTCTCCCCTTTTAACCTTTTAATTACCCATGAATAAAAAAATCAAATGCAAGTCAGTAAGACCGATTCACGGAACATCCAATAAGCATGGTACCAGATGCTCACATTTGGATCCAAGCTCTCCTCATCAGTACCAACATTATCCTCAGAAGTCAAGGAAGGCTTATTTGAATGCTTTTCACTTTGCTCTTTCTGCTTTGCTTCTTTTTCAGCTATTTTTCTCTCAGCCTTTAAACGTCTCTTCAGCTCACTACAAAAGAGAAGGAAACCGGATGCAGCAAGTATTCTAATACTTCTACAGGAAAATGATGGGCAGGATTCTGCCAAAACCTAACTGTACAAATAAACCCACCACGTCTCTTACTTTTTCCAATAGTCAAAATAATTCTTAAACACGTTAAAATATTTTCTACTTTGAACTCCTTCAGTTCATCCCCTACGACACACTCACAGAAAGCGAAAGCGAAATTAAACATAGTTTAGACAGACCTTGACGACGCGTGCCTGCGTGCTCAAGAACTTGAAGCACTCCATTTTGTCCCTAAGAGCCTATCAGCCCTACGCAGCGTGTAAGTGAGAGAAGGCAAACTCCCCCCTAAGTAACGCGGGGTTCCCGAAGCCACCTTCGCGGTCTAGCCTATTCCCCCATGGCCCTCAGGCTCCCGTCGCGCTCCTGACCCCACCTTCCACGACTCCATAAGGAAAGAAGCGGGCCAAGCCAGACGCAAAGCACCGACCTGCTTTGGTCATGAAGCGCCTGCTGCCGTCGGAGCGCGGGCGCGGCCCTCCAGACCCAGCTGCGGAGCCGCGCAGCGCCGGAGCTCAGCATAGCGCTCCGACGGGCGCCTTGACGGAGACAACGCGCCGGATCAGCTGGACACACTTCACTTTCACCTCCCCGGCCCGGCCCCACCTGATCACCCGCGCACCCTCACTTTTTGCTGAGGTGCGACTCAGTCTCCTCCACGCTGCACTCGCGCGCCGCCGCCGTCGCCGCCATCATCGCCCCGCAGCTGCCGCCGCCTCCGCCCTTCCGCCCTTGCACGCCTGCGCAGGCGGTGATGGCGGCGGGCGGAGCTGGGGCGGCCATGGCGGGCGGCCAGGCCGGAGCAGCGCGATCCCGATCGCTGTTCTTGTGGGATGACGGGCATCCTATGCGGTTCTACCTGCGGCCCGGCCTAGCCAAGCTGCGCCTGGCGCCCCTAGTGCTGGCGGGCGGCGGGCGCCTGTGTCGGGTGCAGGAGCCAGGGGCCGTGCTCCTGGCGCAGCCCGGCGAGGTGGCTCCCGACGGGGCCGTCTCAACCGAGTACGTGGCGGAGTGCGTGAAGCGCAACCAGCGGCTGCCGCTGGAGCCCTTCCTGCTGACAGCCCGCGGCCGCCTGGCCTTCACGGAGGCGGAGGATGCGGCGCTGCTGCAGGCGGTGCGCGGCCAGCGCATGGTGCGGGTGAGCGGCCGTGCGCTGTGGATAGAGCTGGAGCGGAGCGGCCTGACGCGGCACAGCTGGCAGGCCATGCGTGACCGCTACCTGCGGCACCTGCTGCCGCGGCTTTGGGGTGAGCGGGGCCGCAGCGGCGGGGCAGGGTTGCGAGGGGGCGTGGTGGCGGCGACCGGCGTGGGTCGCTGTGGCCTGGCAGACGATCCGCGCGTGTTTCCGCAGAGCCCCCGCAGACGGAGGATCCCACGCAGATCAGGGGTCTGTTCGCGGCAGCTAATCGGGAGTTCGAAAGCACGGAGGTGAGCGACCGGGGCCAGCCTGGGCAGCAGCAGCATCCGCTGCGCGCAGTGCTCGGGGCAGGCCTTCCCCGGTGTCACAGATGGCACAATAGAAACTCATGATTAATGCATGAAATTATTTTGCACCGCGATATCCCTTCTGTTCTGGCTGAACTGTGAGCTGTCATCTATGTGGTTTGCGATAAATGGCGCCTGGCTGGTGCATTTTTTCTTCCCTGAGCAAGTTAGCATGAGGAGGTTTATGTGGTGGGGGTTGTCACATTAAAAACTGTATTAGCAAATGAAAGTCATCCTTTCACTTGAGGCAAAAAATGTTCCTGCCGTTGCATCAACACTTACTTTTGCCTTTTATGCTTAGTTTGTTCAAATTCTCTCCTATGGTTTATGGATTTCTGTGATCATGTGCAGCCTCATTAACACATATGGCTTTGCTTCAGTCACTAACTTTTACTATGTTTACTAATTTCTGAGGTTTTAATACACTGTGGAGTCAGAGTAAAAGGTGGTTGGTTGCAGTGGTAAAAGATTTGCCAGAAAATACCATCTCTAATTGGTGATTCCACTTCTCTTACTGTTAGTCAGAAAGTGACTCTTCAGATGTTGCAGAACTTTCCACACAAGATGGAGTGAGAAGGTCCCCAGGAGAAGCAGCATCTGAGCTGAAAACTGGGCCAGAGGACTCTGCTTTCCCTGACATTCAGTTACAAAGGCAAGAAAGACCACAAAGCACTTGTTCTTCTTCCAGCGTGGTGGGACAAGTAATAAAAACTATGGAGCACTTCATGGAGAAGTTTGCTGTGGACCTGCACACTGTTACACAGGCCTTCCTCAAAAACAGCGGTGACGTGGAAGCTACTTCATACTTTCTGCAGACAGGGCAGCGCTTGGATGGGTACCCTGTATGGAGCAGAGAGGATGATTTAGAATTGCAAAAGGATGATGAACATGCCAGAAATAAATTGATAGCCAAATTTGGAGCTGAAAACGTAGCAAAGCGGATAGTGTTTAGAGAGAGTTAACAAGAGGACATGACTGATCCAGAACAGTTGCAGAAGTGTAATAGTCATTTCAGAAAAACAGTGGAAAATTTGATCGCAGTTCTGAAGTTTTCAGAAATGCTTTGATTTTTTTTGTATTAAAAGGCCTGTATTGCATCTCTGCAGATCTAAGATGCAGCTGCTTGAATCAAAGGAATGCTTGTACCAGGCCGTATATTCTGCTTGGGAAAAATACACCAGCTTTCAGGGCTATGAGTAATAGTTGAAGTAGAAAATGAACGTTAAGAGGGAGTTATCAGAGGTTATGTATCTATCACCTAAGCTGCATTTGAGAGAGAACACTATTACTAGGATAAAGTCATAATCTGAAAAACTCAGTACTTTTAGCCTGAAATTGTGCTCTGGTTACTTATTTTAATACTATTTGAAGTGAGTTCTAAAAATCTGGAATTCACTCTTTTGGTGAAATAAAATGGGCTGCCAAAGGTGAAGTCTGGTTTTTGGGGTTTTTTTTGACATCTCTAGACAGTTAACATTTTGGGGTTTTAGCATATTGCTAAAAATCTGGAATTCATTCTTTTGGTGAAATAAAATGGGCTGGCAAAGGCAAAGTTTGGTTTGTCTTTTTTTTAACCTCTCTAAAGAGTTAACATTTTAGGTTTTTAGCATATTGCACTGTGGTACTCAGAAAATTAAAGTGGATTGTGAAATGGTGATGTTAAGCCAAATTAAAATTATATCAAAAATAAAAAACAATATAATGAGACTGCTGTTTCAGGAAACCACTGCAGCACCTACTGATTACTCAAGGAGTTAACTGATGTAACCAAATAAATGCTAAAACAGCACTACACAGAGTTTCACTGGATTGAAAAAGTGAGAATTATTTGGCATAATCATGCTATTCAGACTTTGAATAGTTATTGGAGTGCAAGACAACATAGCTAATGAAGCAATTTTTTTTTTTTTTTTTTTTTTTTACATTAGGTACATTACCAGCTTGGTTTGAAATGCAAGTTTTGCTGATGACCAGGTTCATGAACAGGTGACCTGTCACCTTTTGTAGCTGAAAACTCCCATTCTAGCTTGGACTGCTTACACACGACAGCAGCACCATAGTAGTGCAATGGTCTTGTTTAACAAAACTGCTCTAGAATTCAATGTGAGAGGTAGAATGAATTAAATAGCTGCAATATAGAATGGTCAGATTTACTCCATCTTTTAATAATTCTAAGTAGCACTTATTTTAAGAGTGAGTTTGTCTTGTTGGAGCAATTAGTCTTAGGTGCAGTGCAAACATCTGAGTTCACATACAGTGTTTTTGCCTTTGGAGAGCCTTAGGGACATATTGTCTAACGCTGAGAATCTTTCCATGTGTGTTTGTGCACTCAGTAGGTGTAGCAACTAAGGCAGAAAGACCACAGTTTACTCAAGGCTGCCCTCTCTCTTCTGTTATGAACTCCTGAAAGGCACTGCATGTTCAAAGATGCTCTTGCTTGTGCATGCACGTAGGTCTAGGTTTCTTTTACCAGGTTAAAACCTGGAGGAGCCAGAGATGACACCATATTGTATGGTTCTACTTCTGGTTCTCTCTTTTCCCATGATAAAAATCCTTGTTTTCTGTGCTTTGTCTTACCTACAACACAGTTATGCTCCTTTCAACATGCTAGAACAGTTTGGTTTTCCGTATTCGTATCAGGTTCTTCTATTATCACAGAAGGTCAGGAAGGTTCTCTTTGTGGCTCAAAGAAGTTTCTTTGTATTATTGCCTGGAGCAGCAATATTTGTATACCTGGAAACGTGAGCAAAGCGACAATGCACATACAAGAACATTGAGTTAAAGAGAATTCTACAGCCAGAAATTCTGGGTCTACAAACTATTAGCTGGAATTTGAGTATTACCTATTTGCTTCCTTTTAGAGTTAGCCAGCATTCATCAAAATAAATTAATTTGTATGCTTTCATAACTAGAGTTACCAATGAAAAACTGATTGTATGCACTAGTTTGAAGAGCAACAGACAGGAATACCATGGAGTCAGCTATTAAATGTCCTTTTGACTGGAGACTTTGCCATCTTACATTTCATTGGTATAAAACCAGAGTTTACTCTTTTAAACTTGTACAATGTAAACTTAATGTTTGTTTTTAAACAGAGTTCTGTGATCTTTATTGCATATGTCGAAGGACTTAGTCATAGTTTTACATGTCACCATCAGCATCTTGAGATTTTAGCGGATTTTTGTTGAGCTTTCTTTTCCTCCTCCAAAAAGTATTTTAAGTTATTTTTGCTCAAATCAAGACAACTTTACATTTTCATGTAACGAGACTGGCAGCAGACTTCGCTGTTTCCAGAAAAAAAGAAAATCTTATAAATTGTTGTATTGAGGAAACATACCTAAAGGACTGTAATAAAGACATACTGGAATCAACAATTCTGCATTTTCTCTGATTAAGCTTAGGAAGCAGAGGTGTAAGTAATTTTCAAAACAGTACATTAGGGAAATGCATCATATGTTACTTTTACCTGATTTTTTTACTGACTGGAAACACTGTGGAGGCTTTTATTCAGGTAAACACGTGGTAAACAGAATTGCATCCACTGAAAACAAGTATTCATAATAAAACTTAAGCCACTCAAGCTGGCATTGGTTAATGTTGAGATAAGTAGTAATGTACCAAAAAGAATCTATTTTTGCTCAAAATCCAGCTGCTTAGCACTTACAGGAGGAAGCTCTTTACTATAACTTCAGTAAGAACAGGCTTTTAGCTGCTTTTAGCTGAATATGTTAAGGTCTATTTTAAAGGGACTATAAAGAAAAACAGTGGCTCAGTGCTTCTGTTCCTTAGTGCAACTCCCACTTCTCTATGTCAGCTTGCCTGCCCTAAATTTGCATAAACACAGTGTAAAGGAGGATACCTTGCTTTCAGTGAACTTACTACCATAAGGCCAATGCTGCCTGCTCAGCATGGATTTTGTCCTTCAACATGATCCCTAGTAATAAGACTATTATTTCCATAATACAATATCCCACCCTTTTTGGGGATTAGGGGTTTAGCTCTAGGAATACAGACACCCGTATTGCTAAGGTAGTGAGTGTTCTATGTTAAGGGGACTCTGCAGTTTACACATGGAAAAGGATATTCAGAAATAGGGATCTGTAGGCATTTCACTCCTCCCCAAATCTGGTAGCAAGTTTTTCTCCTTCTCTTCTGGAACACTTAAAACAGGTGAAAACCATTCTGTTGTTCAGGTTTGAACTATATATTCCCATTGGAGGTGGGAGAATGGCATAGTCCGTTAAATTTATTTTTTTGTGCTCCAAGACTAGAAATACTCTCACCAAATATTTCAATAGGAGAACTTCCTGATCTTCTCTTAGTTTCTTCAATCTACTCCCATTAACCTGTCTTCTCAGTTTTGGTATTTATGCTAATGAAATCCATGTCTTTACCTTGTCTTTAGGATCCCAACCTTAGCATGAATTCTTCTGCCACCCATGTGGACTGTGGGAATTCCCAGGAAAACAACTGTTCTTGGGTTTGAAAGCTAGAAGACAGAATTATTTCAACTAAAAAAATAAATGGATTCATATAATCACAGAAATGGTTTCCCACATGAAAACCCAGGAGTTTTTGTTTTCAGCATTAGCTGGTTTATTCCATTTTCCCATAATACAGTAAGTGAACACAAACATTTCCCCACCTTTGCCACCAAGGCTGGATACTCAGGCACATAAATGGAGCAAAAGGAAAACTGGACTTGAAAATGCAACCATAAAAAAAAAAAACCAAAAAAAAAAAAAAACCCAAACCAAAAAAAACCCCCCACAAAAACAACTAAAACTCACAAAACAAAAAACCCAACACAAAATCAAACCAAAGCTCAATGTCTTTCCAGAAATCAAATATCCGGTCATCCTTGCATCTTTTCTGGCACTACATATCCTGCATGGCAGCATGTCAAGCAATGTTTTCTTTATTCAGCTTCCTTTTATTTTTCCTCCCCCTTGGCAGTGCAATTGCTCCATGTGGTTTCTCTAGTCTTCAGCTGTGGTCTGTGGGGAGTTTGAGCTTCTGCCATTTGGTCCTATTCCTTTGGCATTCTGTGTGCTCCAACCTAAACATAATTAATTTGGAAAACAAACTTGCATTACTTTAGCCTCCATTGTGGCTGTATCTCCAGGGGTCTTGGAGAGTGACCCTGTGCTGCTGAGAGCTCTCCTGAATGTAGTCAGGGTTCTTGTACCAGTTGTTCTTGCCTCCACGCATGCTCCTACACCTCTGTGCCTGCACCTCTGTCCTCCTTGGCTCTAGTGAATAGTTCAGCACTCTGCAGCCTTCAGAAAGTAGATGCAGAGACCAGCTTTTCTGCCTTCAAAATTTGATCCTCAGAGGAGTTCTGAGCAAACAAAAGATCCAGAGACATATTTTTCTGCTCTTCTTCAGACTGAACAAGCCGGTAGCCCAGCAAATCCATTGCATCTTTGCACGCATTTTGCACTTTTTCTATTTTCTGGAAGGGAAGAGTTTTTCTCCAGGCCTGGGATACTCTCAGTGCATCTCTTGACCCAATATCAAAGGCCTGTACTCCATCACCTTTTCCATGGGTGATGTTGTGGACCCACTTCTGAAGCTCTGGTGTGAAATGGAGTTCTGCAAACCTGTACATCTCAGCAGCCCTTGCTAGGGGGTCTCTGACAATGTCTTCATAGCGAACCAGCAGGTACCGGTCTTTCAGGAAGCTTGGAGCAGCCTGACTTCCTGCCTTGTATATCTCAACGTGGCTTTTGCAGATTACCTGCATTGTGTTGTAGGGCCCCATTTCTCCCTTTGCCTCCTGAGACCCGGCCACAATGTTACTGTCGCGTTTCAGTTCTTCTGCTGTATTCTCTCTGGACCTGAACACAGCCCGAGGATCACGTACCAAGTGAATGATTTTGAGGTTCAGGGATGGATCGGTGAGAAGGGGATAGAGAACTTTCAGGTCAAAGAACCTAACTTCCTTGATGGCAACGTGGCTATAGGTTTTACAAGCTTCCTCCACCTTGCTGAATGGGTACTTGCCACAGATGGTTTTGCAATTGCCTGCAGTGATTATGTCACTGCGACTGAATGAGTCACAGGCAGGTGGGGAGCACAAGGCTCGGCTTGTCTCCCACTGAAATAAATCAGACTTTTTCTTCTGGCTAGACATGTAAGCATCAAACACAGACATGTCACACAGAAAGACCGACCTGACTAAGTCCCGCACTGCCATGTGTAAGACACTGGCACTGTTCTGGGACATCCTAACCCACACATGCCATGCAGGCTCCATCAGGTAGAAGACATTGGGGTGCTGGCTGAAAAGTTGTCCAGTGAAGGAGGATCCTGACCGCCAGGAGGAGAGAATGAGGATGTGGACAGGAGAAGGTTTTTCTTCCATATGGGCATTGTTGCTGCAGGGTAGGAAGTGGATAAGAATGAAGGACAGAACTACCAGAATCAGGAGCACCTGCACTCTTCTAGACTTCACCATGATTGCAAGGGACCTGCAGAGACAGAGGAAGTTCAGCATCACAAGATGATGAAAAAGGCAAGATGTGGTGCATCACGCTCCTGTGCATCCCTCTGCAGGCACAAGATTTTGAAAGCTGCCACTCTACTAGTGACACTGTGACAACCACCACACAAGGTGTCTTTGCAAAGGACATAAGTACTGCAGGGCTGAAGGTTTTCTGCAGCAAAACCACTGTCTGTCAGGAAGCCACTCTAATATAGTCTTAGAAGACAGCGAAAAGCTTGTCTGTACTTTTATTGAAGTTTAACAGCTAGTTGAGTGCACTGAAGTCAGTACAGACAAATGTGTACTTCATGTGCATAATCCCTGCAAATGATCCTGCCAATTTTTATGGAGGAAAAATGCAAACCTTTCTCTTTTTCTGAGGTGTTCAGAATTCAACAGTTCCACATTTTACTTTTAAACACCTTACTCTGACTAATATTTACAATTTTTTTTATGCCAAAATACTGTAAACATACAACGTAGGTTTCCTTTTGTTTTCATTATACTCCTTTTGAAATTTCAGGAAACATTTGTTGTCACCACACATGAATTGTTACCAAAGGAAGAAGCTTGGCACTGTAATAAATCCAAGAACAGTATCTCCTCCAGACAGAGCTTTGTAGGCAATTTTGCTAGAAAGACCCATCTTTGTGTAGGCAGGTTTAACTGCTTACCTGCCCCAATAACCCTCTTCTTAGCCTCCTTTTTAGAGACTGTCACTTGCTGTCCCTCCCTCCAAGCCCACTCATCCTATTGGTCTTTTTTGAGGAGACATACAAAAGAATGTGCTAGTTGAACTCAAAGGTCTGCCCAAAGCTGGGTCCTTGTTTCATACACTAAACCTCTCTTCTGCCTGTGGAGGATGAACTGAATTATTGGAAAGTGTCTAAAAATTTCCATGCCATTGGGGACATGGCATGAAAATACCACAGAAAGAATTCATAGCCTGAATACCAGCTGGCACAGTAATCTGGAGGAAATACACCGCTGAAGATGGGATCTGAGGCAGAAATAATTAATTTTTTAAAAATACATTAAAGGACTTTGCCTATTACTCCTGTCTTGTGTGCTCTCCTTCTGTCACCCAGCAGTGCCTCAAATACAGGTTGGGTATCCTGCAGCACGGGCTGCCCCTGGGGCCAGGCTCCTTGTGCAGCACTGAAGCCCGGGCAGGATGGAGTGCTCCCCAGCACCATCTGCCAGCTTTGTCATTTTAGCTGTGCCACAGTGGAGACAGACCTCTCTTGCTAGTGCAACTGCTTTGTATTTTCTAAGGTGAACTAAAACTGAAAAAACTTTTCTGTTTCCTAGTCATGGTCAGTCCTTCTGGGGGATGCACAGCAGCACAGGACAGAGAGAGCAGGGCTTTTAGGGCCAGATGTTAATCCCATACAGAGCAGCATCCGAGCCCAGGCCCTTACAGCTTCGTACGCTCCTTTTATGCGGTCCATATTGCATGAGACCCAAGCAGCTATTCCCATGCCAAGCACCAGCCCCCCTACTCAAGCAGCAGAGGTGTAAAACAACCCAGCTGCAATGCAGACATTGCCTCCCTACTACATGCTTGCCATACCATCTGGGTCCACAGTAATTTCGAATGTTCCCAAAGTTTCCCTAGCCTCCTCCTTATGCCCTGCCTCAATTTTCCTCTGCAGCAAATCTTTCAGACTAATTTGCACAGGGGTGCCTCCTCCCATGATTTCAGTTCCTCTAGTACTGATGTTTTAGATTTTCACATACAGTCACTGCTGCTAACCAATGAGGAGCAGTACTAATCTGTGCCTCCAACATACATGCATAAATTGGCTTTTTTATCTTAGTAACCTGCTGTGAATTTGTGTTGAGCTTAGGGTTTATAAGGCAGCAATTATAATTTCTTGGAGTAAGGAAAATACCCAGCCTAAAGGATAATTCTGGTTGTTGCCAACACATGCTACCACAGTATGAATTTTACTTTAGTAATGCCTGGCAAGGATGGGGCTGTGCATTTAGAGAGGGACCACATCATTCCTGTCTCCTGGACAAGAAGCCCTCTGATTTTTTTTGGTTACACAAATGGCCTGTAGTGTTCAGGTCTGACAAGGAGCTGAATCAGGTTGCTATTTGGACCAACCCTGGGAAGAGCTGCAAACAAAGACTGTTGTGAAAATAAGTGATATATCAGTTTCTTCCTTCCAAATGAATACAAGCAGTGTTTACCAAAAGTCCTGGCTTCCAAATGAACTTCGATGGTATCGCTTCCATCTGGCACCATTAATATTGTTATTCTAACTCCTGACAAAGTTCCTGGAATATAGCCGGAAGCTATTAATTGAGAAAAATTCTGTTGAGCAGACATGAACAATGGCATGAAGGTAGACACCCAGGCAGATTTAAAACCACAGAAATAGTTGTTTCTTTGGAAACCTACATGTGAATTGCCCGAGTATGAGAATGAAATCAGGTTTTTTTCAGGAAACAAGAGTATACTTTTATCCCAGGGTGGGATAGCTGGATGTTTTAGATATTTCACAAAGTGACTGCTTTTGATAGATAGCAGCAGATGACCTCATGTGAGACCACAGTTTCAACAACTTCTTCACTCATATAAGAAGTAGCGATAATTGTTGCCATCACAAATCTGTTCCACAGGGAGTAGAAGGACTGAAATGAATTGTGTGCCTGATGAAGAGGAAGAGCAGCATCATACTATACTACCTATCATATATTCCCTAATATGAGAGAAATACTAATTATATAACCTTAGTTTTCACCACTGCATTTCTCAATCACGGGAGCTGGGATATTTCTAAACCAAGGTCTTAAGCTTAACTACATTTTCTCTACAGCAAACATCCACAGTCACCAGTGATAGAATTAATTTCATATTGCAAAAGTGAAAATATGAAGTTCTCACAGAGCTGGCAAGTAAAGATCAGCCAGAATAATTGAGACAATCTCAGCTGCAGAACAAGAAAAGCACACTGTTAGCAGTGTGTGTGCTAACAGAGAAGAGCCAAGATTTGGCTGAGAGCAGAAAGAAGTGGAAGAATCTCAGGGCACAAAGGATGCAATATAGAAACTATCGAAAAGTACAACATTCCAGTGTCAACATGTTAGTGTCTCCCACGGCAAAGGTATTAAAATACTGCCTGAGCAGCTTGTTTCAAAAAAAAAAAAAAAAAAAAAAGCAGAGAAAAGCAGAGACTTAGGCTTTTCTAGAAACACATAGAGACTTTGGAAAAGCTTGATCCTAGCAAAGAGTAAGTGTTAAAGAAAGCAGCAAGCAGCCCAAGGGAAATGTACCCATGAAAAGCCCTCAGCATTAGGCACCATATCCCCGGATTACAGGGAATTTATTGAACATGTGCATTTCTCTGGCAGGTGTGAGGCAGTTACGGCCCAAAACCACCTTGTGCTGTGCAAACCAATGTTGAATGCTCTGCCAGTCTGAGGGAGCTCTCCAGACCTGTACAGGTTCCCCACTGCTGTAGCGGCCCCAGTCTAGCAAAGAGGATTGGCACCAGAGAAGCTCCTGTCACTGGTCTTTGATGGCACTGATGGTTGCTCACAGTTTTTTCAAATGCTGCTTCAATTTGGCCTGGTCCGTTTCTGCAGAATTAGAAGTCGTCTGCCCATTCAGGGGTGAGCAGCTGGCATGACTGTCGCTAGTGGGAGAAGCTGAGCGAGGGCACTGAGAAGACTGTCTGGAGAAGCAGGAACTACCCTCTAAGCCAGACCCATAGCTTCTGTCTGCAGAAAATTGTCATAATTTGCTGGCATCAAGAGCATCTACACTAGATACCAAGAAATGGTTGAAAATCTCACCTTAACAAGTCCTTCTGAAGCACCACCAGATCTGATTCAAGCAAAGTTGCCCTCACACACGTTCGCTGCTGTGGTACACACGCCTCCGGGCAGTCACACAAACAACAGTGCATTCATGCACAGGCGCTCTGTCTTCATCCTGGGGTCTCACATACACGTGTACTTAGCTCCTACCTACAACTGTGCCTGCCCCTCCCTGTCCTCTTTGTGTACATCCCATCTCTAAGACTGACTGCTCCACACTGCCCGCCTACTTTGACCAGCCTTAAACTAGAAAACTCCACCCTGCACTAAGCAAAAGGTATGGAAATGGCAGTTTCTTGCAGGGGTGTGAATGACCAGGCACTGCTAGTAAAGGAACAGGGCCAGAAAGTTCATGAAGGAGACCGAGAGATACTTTAAACTCCTATTACAAGCCCCAAAAAAGACTGCTGCCTGTAAGAGCAGGAACAGGGATGTCTGTAGCATGGCAGAGCAAAGGACAAACAAATTGCAAAGAGGATCAGCTTGCCCACCATGAGTGCAGACACAGGGCATACTTTCCTACTATTGCTCTGGCTGCTTGTCATGTCAGCAGATGCAGATTCACATAAAATCCTTTTTACTCTTCTCTGTCTGTACCTTGCTTGAATTAAACATTTGGGGGCTAAGAAAGAAAACTGTGTGAAAGGAGAAGCTGTGAAAGGAGCAGCTGGACTTGGCCTGTTAATGATTCACAAGGGTGCTGGAGTTGCAATGGGACTGTGCCAGGTAAGGTAGTGAAACAGGGCAGCACTGGGCTCAAGACAAATACTTACACACAGGGACAGTTGCTTTGGGTCATTCCTATTCCAGATCTCATAGATTCTGTCACACAGTCTGGAGACATCTAGACCTCTTAATGGTGTCCTCTGTGTTCCCAATGACCTCACTGCTGCTCTTAAGGCAAGTGGGGTATAGGAGACAGCAAAAGAAAAAATCTGGGCAAGGCTGGTGCTTCCAGCAGGAGGAACAATCTGAATGGGGCAGGTCATGTTCCCTTTCACTTGTTGCATTGCAAACACAGACGGTCAAGCCCTGGTAACCCTGGGCTGGGAAACAAGGTGAGAAGTTGGCAGTGGTCCAGGTAGGGCCCTGTGGAGGACCATGCAATGTTCGGTGCAATCTGGACTTCTGCTATGTGTTCCCATGCTCAGCACT